TTCAATGTCATACAGGGAAAGACTCAGGAACTGTTCCAGACGGAAGGAAATGAAGGAGACATGACAACTGAATGCATCACGTGTTCCTGTGCTGACACTGGAAGCCAGGTGAAGGTTGAGATAGGTGAGCCAGCTTTACACTCCTGACCCCTGAACCTAAGGGGGGCGGGGGGCAGGGAGAAAGGGAGGGACCAGCTGACAGCGGCAGGAGAGGGGTGTGAGCTGGGTGGTGTAGATGGGCCAGGCTGCTCAAAGACATTCAGGCTCAAGGAATACTTCTGCCACTAACTGGTTCCTTAATATTGGGCACGTTACTAATATACTTTAAATTCTACCTTGATCTCTCCAAAGCAGGGATTTAAGGAAGCTTCCAATAAAACATATGTGTATAGCCCTGGCCGGTTTGGCTCAGCGGTTAGAGCGTCCGCCTGCGGTCCGGAGAGACCCGGGTTCGGTTCCCGCTAAGGGCATGTACCTCGGTTGCAGTTTGTCCCCGGCCCTGGTTGGTCGTGCGGGTGGCGGCCACTCGATGTGTCCCTTTCACGTCGATGTTTCCCTCTCTCTCTCTTCCTCTCTCTCCCTCCCGCTCTATCTGTACAAAAAATGGAAAAATGTCCTCGGGTGAGGATAAAAAACAAACAAACAAAAAAAACATATGTGTATAATAGAGGTTCTTAAAGGGAAAATAGGCCAAAATCGTAAGAGAATAAGGCAATGTACTAAAATAGTGGTTAAAATGATGGAGTGGAGGACCATGTTTGAATTTCCTCATTGGGCAAATGGAGACCCAATCAAATGAGGGGCAAATGAAAGAGAATGATTATGAAGGTGCCTTTTCAAACATGGTATGCAATGCAAGCTCTCTTGATAGTGTCACTCCTTCCAAAGTCCCCAGAAGCGTCGTAAAGAGGGGCCACCCATCTGAAATCCCCATCTCGTCTCTCTGGCCAGTTCTGAGCCTCTGTATCAGCCTGACTGAGCAGCAGGGAGAGCAGACTGTCTGAGCCAAGAGGGATCAGCAAGTTGTAACAAACTTCTCTGACCAGGCTAAACATGTAATCACCAAAATCATAGCTGTCTCTCCCGAGCTGTCATCTTGGGTGCTGGCTCAGCAATCCAGGGAGGTGTAACCCACACCAGGACAGCCCCTCCTCCCCAGACAGTTCTGCCGTGGCTGGACTTGTGCTTACGTTGCATGAACCTCAGCTTGGAAACCATGCTCAGGAGAAAAGACGCGTCCATGGGAGACATGGTGGGGACGGACTAACAGAGAAGAGCAAGGAGAATCATAGTGCACGTTCTAGACGGCAGGCGCTGTACATTCAGTAAGAAATTGCACTAGAAATTCTTAACACTTAGTTGCCACGGCACAAAATTTGATGATCACGTTTAGTTACTGCAGGGACAAAGGATCTCAGTACCAGGGCAGACGCCATGGAATAGGCCCAAAAGCATCCATCTGAGTTCAAGTAGACTTTTTTGTCGCTAGCCGTGGTGAAAATGGATTCTGGGGGAATGGAAGGGTGGTCCTCAAAGGTAGGAGTAGGTACATGTCACAGACAATCACTTAAGTTGATGTGGACATTACCACGGGAACACTGCTGTAACAGAGGGTTACATTTTTCACCAAGGTGCGATGCTCAACTTTTTATAGAAATAAATACAAACTGCTCCGAATTACTCCTAAGCCATACCTCCGTGGCCTGTTACAAGGCTTTCTAAGGTATACATACAAATGGGATAAAACATCAATCTGTTTAAATTTACTGGGACCAGTCTAAGGAGTTAGAGACAGAGAAAGGGAATTCATGTTATAACTTGGGCCAGAAACCAGAGGAACCTACAGAAGGGGCTGCGAGTAAAACTCATAGACACCGGCCCCTGGCACCGGGGGAGGGGGGGGCTCGTGAGGCTGGGAGCGGGAGGAACGGGCCACGCAGACCAGATGGCATCAGAACCGGATGCTGACTGCACAGCTGTGTGTGCGGTGCTGCTTGCTGGAAGACAGCTGTTGGTTTTGCTCATCTGCCTGCAAATCCCTGCATAGATGGGTGTGTCGAGGGGGTAGAATGCTGTCGGAAGGAGACAAGATAGGGCATTAACAAGACTCCATAAACCTCCCTCTCCACTCACAGCTGGAAAAAAGTAACAGGAATAGGAAAAGGCAGATGAGGAAGTTGATTACTTTCCTGTCACTTACACAACCCGAGTGACTGCTCTGCCTCCTGGCCTTGAGGATGTGAACGGGACAACACAGACCTGGGTCGGGGAGTGGGGGGAGGCAGAGGTGGGTGAGACACCTGATCAGTAAACACATGTCCAGGGGCCATGCTGGAAGCCGGCAGAAGGCTGGGAGGACACAAGGAAGGACTGCCTAATTTCAACAGGGCGGTGACTTTCCTGGACTGAGGAGGGAAAGAAAGGACATTCTAGGTAGAGAGGAGTTAAAGACCTGGAGGTGTTACAACAACATTTGAAATGTTGGATTTTCTCGCATTTGAATCGCAAATCAGGGACTTTTGAGCTTTTTTTTTGGACTTCTGCTAAGTATCTCCCTGTCTTAAGCATTCATTTGATTTCTCCTTAGACTTTTCCTTTATTCCCACAGGACAGGTGTAACCCTTCCAGGGGACTCAGCACAAGTAGGAGGCGCTGGTTGCTGGCTCCTGAGCCAGGGGGGCCTCTGGTTACTGACCAGGCAGCTCCTTACTTTACACACCAGCTATTCACCCCACTGTCCAGACCTGCTTCGCGTGAATGGCGAGATGACCCGCCGCTGACAACGCCCCATGTTTCCAGAAGCCATGGGCCGGGAGAGACCTGATGTTCCCTGGGGCAGGGTCTTTCCTCACCTTAGGGGAAGGTGCCACCTGCTTTTCTACCTCGCGGCTCTTGGTCCCGGGGTCTTCGGGCATGGCATTTGAGCTTAGCGGGATGGCGGTGGCGCGTTCCGTTCCCTGGGGGCTACGGGGCTCATTTAAGGGGCAAGCCTCCGGGGAGTCTGTGAATCACGTGACGTGCTGGTGCCCACTTTGGAGATGCTGCTGAAACAAAGGAAGAGCAGCGAGTTTGTAAAATCCCACTCACCACTCTGCCAGTCGCTGGAGAGGATGTATTTGCATCTGAATGAGCCCTGCAGGCGGACTAAGCTTAAGGGGTGCGAGGGAGCCAGTCACTAGTGCCCCTAAAGCTCTCGGAGGAAGAGCTCAGGTTTCTTTAGGGGTTATAATTTCAATGATGTGTAAGAGTGGGAAGGGGGCGTCGTCCGCGGGGACACAGGGCTATACACAGAGCGCGGAAGAGCGAGCCGCGGCCTACCCGCTGTCTGAAGGCGGCCCACCTGGTCCCAGGTTCCCGGGCTGGCTCGGCCTCCGGGGCGAGGCCGTGGAGCCGCTCCGGCCCGCTGGTCCAGCACATGACCTCCTCCCCTTTCCTTTCATTCTGTTGAGTGTTTCTCGTCATCTGGAGGAACTACCTTTCGCTAGAGACGTGTGTGTATTTAAAAGGTAAAACCACTTTTTACACGTAGCTGCTAGTTAAGGAAGCCCACATAACTCGACAACAGTCCTCCGTGGCCATTCATCCGGCTTTGCGAATACACCAGGAAGTGAACGACAGCCGGCAGCCCAGGGCCTGTTTGTAAACAGTGTCACTGGGACGCGGCTACATGTACTTCCTCCCATGGTGCCCAGGGTTGCCTTTCTCCCACAACAGCAGAGTGACTGTAACAGACACTGTCTGGCCTGCAGAGTCTAAAATAAATATTTGCTATCTAGCTCTTTACAGAAAAAGCTTGCCAACCGCTGGGCTATCCCGAAGAACCCCAATCTAAGAAGGGTAAAAGATTTCACACACACACACACACACACACACACACACACACACAGGATTGCTCTCAGGAAAACAAGCAACCTAAAGAAGACAGAAGTAGCTTAACCTTCATTACACCTCCCAACACCTCGCATGTCCCCCAGTACTCAAGCCACACCACAAATGAAGGGTTACAAATATTCAGATTTTATTATAAATAAAATACTGGTTTTTTTAAACATAAAAAAAGCCAAGTGTTGCATTTTGTTCACCACCCTGGAAAGCAAAACGGTAGAAATGAAGGCACACAGCTCAGGTGAAGGCACGTGTAAAGGGCCACAGCTGGGATTTAAAAAGAACCCCAGGGGACAGCTGTCTACGCCCGTGACACCCAGCATTCCACAACAGCCACCCTGTCCGTTGTATTACGTAAAATACAGATAACTGGAACTATACAATAATGGCTATATTGCAGGTGTGTAATCAAGGTATCGCCTTATAAAGAACTTTTATTTTAAAAATAAAATTCTGTTTAAAAATATACCACACAGATGGAGAAAAGCCAAAAAAAAAAAAAAAAAAAATAGCCAACAATAAAATAAAAAAAATTTCACCGTGGCCTAAAACTTCCTGGAACGAACCTGACCCATAGGCTGGATGGAAAACTACCCTGGCAGCCTATCGCTCCTTTTCCTGCAACTTTGACCACAGCGTCGGTTAGGAAATGGCCACTTCACAAGAGGAACTAGCTAGGAACACTGATGTGACAACTCGGCAAGAAGGAGCCAGCGTCCTGGGAGGGCGGGAGAGGCCTGGGAAGAGCAGCGCGGAGGCTGGGGGGTGCCAAGGGGAGGCGCACGAAGTCAAGGCTGGTGCGCGAGGGCTCGGGAACAGGGGCAGGACTGAGCTACACTGTCTCCCACTCTCTGTAGCACTATCCCTGATGCCGCACGTGCCAGGAATTACACCGTCTCTCATGAAATTGTCCCATCCAGTTTAAACCACTGCAGAAAAGGCATTTCAACATTTTCTTTTTTCCTTTATTGATTCGGGAGAGAGAGGGAGAGAGCGATGGAAACATCGATGAGAGAGAACATCGACTGGCCGCCTCCTGCACGCCCCCCACTGGGGATCGGGCCCACAGCCTGGGCATGTGCCCTGACCGGGAATCGCACCAGCGACCTCTCGGCACGTGGGTCGATGCTCACCCACTGAGCCACGCCGGCCGGGCAGAAGGGCACTTCAGGAAGGGGCTAGAGCCACACTGAGGTTGATGCCCTTCTGCCAAATATCCTCGCCCCGCACACCCTGGCGGCTGGCATCCCTGCTCTGCAGCAGGCATCGAGAACAGCATGGGCTGCAGCTCGGGGTCACCAGACCGCCATGGACTGGGGTGGAGGTAGCTCTGGACACTGGCTGCGTGGGGAGGAAAGCAGGCTGGTGTGGCCGTCCGAGGACGGCCAGGCTGCAGACACACGGCAAAGGGCAGAGTGACGGGGACGGGTGCGATCCGCAGACCCCAGGTGGAGGGCGAATGCTCCACGCATCGTGCCAGGGAGGAGGAAGGCGGAACGAAGACGTGGACAGAGGGCCATTCTAGAAAGAGGACCAGGTATATTTACATAAATTCCTTACTCTATAATCATGATACACAAACAAAAAAAAAATCACATTCACACAAAAATATAAATTTGAAATAATTAATAGCACCAGTGTGTCAGATAATAGTTTCTTTCCCCCGCTACGCAAAGTACAAAGTTGCATAGTGTTAAAAGCTATATATGAATCTCGAAGGCAGGTTGGTAGGAGGAAGGGGTCACGTGGCAGGGAATTGTCACGCTGTGATCTTAGAAGAAAACCACAGAGCTGAGGATCAAAAGTTGAGAAGCCCACTAGGAAACTCCACTTAAGGGTCTTCCCTCGCACGGAGAGGGAAGGGTCAGAGTGGGTTGAAACCACAAAGTGCAGGAACTAGGTGGGGTTGGCAGCTGAGTGAACTACTGGGTGCAAGTCTTTGCCACCTGGATTGGGCAAACCGTGAGTCTCGAGGGATTCTAGACGATGGGAACGTCAGGAGAACGGGGAGGCTAAGGGTCGAATGTCTCATCTCTTCCCAGTGGAAGAAACATGGATCTATGGGATCCTGACCATTGAGATGGACCTACGCTTTACCCCTCTGCTGGAAGAGACTAGGGCTGGTTTTTCTTCTGTTTGGTTTGTCAAGATCTTAGGGATCAACTGTTCTCTGCCAGATAATAATACCAGTTCCCATACTAGCATACTAACAAAGCTCTAAGAATTAGATTTTGGGAAAACAAAACAAAACAAAACTTTAGTGGTTATCATATCCCTATTTCTTCTGCATAAACTCCACGTGTAGGAATATCAAAAGGTGTCACTGGTGAGTGCGAGCTGCCCATCCAGATTTAAATGATCAGCTGCCCAAAGATTTGAAAGAAGTCGATCTTCCTGGTCAGTTATTAGCACAGAAGACGGTCGGCCTACTTCGGCACCTCGGTTCTTCTGGAGACTGTCGGAAATGACTGCATCCTTACCCATGGATGGCGCAGGGTCCTATACTCAAAGTAGCTAAAGCAACTGGTGATGGCTCTTGACACGCTGAAGGCCTTTGGCACAGGACGCTGACGAGGAGGAGGGGTGGGAGAAGCAGGTGCATCTTCTTTAACTAAGGTTGGACGTACTGGCCATCACTATGCTACTATGAGCAGCCAAACTTTTCCTTCATAGAAACGAGAGCACAGACGGAGGAGATTCTGCTGGCACCAGGGAGACAGGGAGGGCTCCTCGCTCAGCCCCGGCGCACAACGGTTCCACGAAGTGCTGACGCCACCGCAGGCGGCCAGTCTTTACGAGACTCAGAAGGGGTGGGGGGGAAGGGAGCACCGTAAGTGGAAGGGAGACTTTATTTGGATAAAACCCTTTGTTCCCGGTTCACGATGTTGAATTTGCTTCTCTTTAGACTTTGTGACTTTTCCTGGTTCAAGAGGACAGTGGTGGAGAGCAGCAGAGAAGTGGGGGGTCTGAAAATGTCATCTTTGTGCTAAGGCACGCTATGGCCTCGCCACGGCTACCCGGTGGGGAGTACTGCCTTCCAGCCCTAAGGGAAGACGCTAGGGCTTTTCAATGGACGGGGTGTTGAAGCAGCCGGACGGCAAGGTCTTCCTGATGTCTTCCAGGTTGCGGATGTCCTTCATGATCTCCTCAATGTCTCTGTTATAGTCCATGATGGCGGCCTCCTGCTTCCTGGCTTCACTCTCCAGGTCGGACACTTTCCTGTCCAGATCGCTGACCTTCATCTCGTCTTTGGCTTTGTTCAGGGTGCCTTCGATCTCGTTGAGCTTGTTCAGGTCCACTGTGTCCAGCTGCCCTGTAGAGTCAAGGAGGACACAAGAGAACAGACACGTTCAGGAAGGGCTGTAACTTCCCAAGTACCAACTGGCCTTTTTAGGAGCAAAGCCCCGCAGCTGCCACTGTGAAAAGGTGGCCTGCACACGTGGCTCGTGCCTGTGGGCAAGGGCTCCAGCAATGCAGACCAGCACCTGCGCGGACCAACCCAGCAGGAACAGGGAGAACACACCGTGAGGGGTGGGCTGGGCGTCTTTTTCTGAGAAAACGGTTTCTGTGAAATGTTTTCTAAATACCCAGCTACCATTTCTAGACCTTAAACCTTGCTGTGGTTTTGAAGGTCACCTGGTGACATTGAATACCTTTTTCGCATTTACATATGTGACCTGTGTGCCATTTTAATGCCATCCCACACACAAAAACCTTTCAGCTAGAACCTGCACCCTCAGCGCTGCGATCCCAGAGGATCTGGGTTGGTTCCGGGAGTCATGTCCTGCTCTCAAGAGCCAGATGCTATCAGGAGCCCTCCTGTGGAAAATGGCCAGGGCTGACATGCTGAAATCATTTCGGCAAAGCTTAAAATTAGCAGGAAAAGGAGGCTCCTCTGAAAGGAACTGCTTCCATAGCCAATGAAAGCAGACTCCGCCGAGGTCGGCCCTTCGCACATGCTGTGCTCGATTCATTTCTCACAAGGCCACTTGACTCTGGTGGTCCTCGGATGGTAAGTCATTTGCCCAAGTTTGCACAGCTTCGGGCAATAAAGCCAAGGTTCTGACCCAAGTCCGACAAAATTTAAAACCCAGCTCTTTCTTCCCCCCAAATCTACCTCTTTTAGCTTGCTTTCATTTTAAAATCCACCTACTAGCACATAATTTATTACTCAGGACATTACTCAGGTAGTGCTAACTACCCCCACAAAGTAAAACACTGACCAAACTCTAAAGACCAGAAGTTAATGGGATGCCTGCTACAGAGCTGTACTGACCAGAGCACCCCACTCTGTAATGAAGGCCAGTGACAACGGACATCTGTCTTTGCGTGAAGCCTGCTCCCTCTCAAGTTGGATGAGAAAGGGTCCCAATATGCCTCTATCTTCTTGAAAAACCAAGCCTTTTCTTTCCTATAAGTGTCATCTTATCAGATTATTCTTTGATAGGCAAATGAAGAGACCTCCAGGCAGTGGAGTCGTGACCAGGTGAGCGCTCTCCTATCCCATCGCTGAAAATCTGAAAGACACCGCCGGCAGGACAGTCACCGTCCAACTGGACCCTCAACCTCGTCCATAACGGAGCGGCCCCGTGGGAGCACGTCCCCACACTTCTGAGTCCTCGGACCACGGTGAGACTCAGCGCCGGGTCGGGTTCCGTGGCAGGACCTTGTGAGTTCTTACTGAGTAACTGCAACCTCAAGTCAGGGTTCAGTTCACCCAGTATTCGCATTATGCCTAACACCTGGTTTGGAGCCAAGTACATCAGATCCAGGAACAGGACAAAGAATCTGGAGGTTGCCTAAAATGACTGGCCACTCACCCAGCTGCTCCAAGAGGTCACTAATAAGCTTGAGGAGGCTGGTAACGGAGTTCTTGGCCTTCCTGGCGTTGATCTCGGCTTCCTGAGCGGCCTGGGAGGCCTGTGGGGAGAAGATGGACGACACAAATGGTCCTGAGCGTGTGGTCAAAGCCATTTCCTGTCCCACTCGCTCGAGAGTACAGGGAGGTGTGTTCATAATGAAACCCATCAAGCAGAAACAAGTTATTCTTTAAAGAACGAACATAAAAGCTCCATTTTAGACTCAAAACATGTCCTTCAGGAAGCTCTTAGGGACTTGATTATTCGAAATGTCCTGTTCTCCGAAAACTTTCATAATCAAGTGACACTCTTCTATAGTTGTCTCCCTGACCTGTGCACGCACACACACGCCAAAACAATTTACATTGTGAAAACCAAACAAAGGTAAATCTATTTGGAAAAATCCCAGGAAACCTGAATAAATCTACGCGGCATGAGTCACAGGAGGCCGCCGGGGAAGAGGAAGTGTCTAAATATCAGAAGGCAGACGCTCTCCCAAATAAATGCTGTCAGGACACAAATGAGTTGCTGGGAACTCCCTGCCATGTTACTGTTGTTCCTAGTTTTGGGGTCAAGACAATTTTTGGGGTCAGCACAATTTTTGGATAGAAACAATGTGAAAATGTTAAAAAGAAAAAAGAAAGCAAGGGGTAAAAACCTTCACAGATTAACGGTCAACCTCTGCTCAAGCCTTCCCCGGGCTTTCTGAGACGTGGCCATGGCCGGCCGGGAGCATCACTCCTGCCCTGCTGGCCCTCCCAGGGCAACCGCAGCCTGCACTCCTTTAGCTACAAACACACACAGCCCGGCCGGTGTGCTCAGTGGTTGAGTGCCGACCCGCGCACCAGGAGGTCGCCGGTTCGATTCCCGGTCAGGGCACATGCCCAGGTCGTGGGCCTGATCCCCAGTGGAAGGCATGCGGGAGGCGGCCAATCGATGTACTCGCTCATCGATGTTTCCATCTCTCTCTCCCTCTCCCTTCCTCTCTCTCTAAAATCAATAAAGAAAAAAACAAACAAAAAACCCCCCATAAAACAGAAACATGTTATAGCCTCAAACAATACTGGCCCCATGCTGGCCTCTCAGGTTGATAAAACAGACATGGGACAGTGTATGAGACGGCTGGTGCTTTCTGCCCCTCAGTTTTTACCGACAGGAATAAAAAATGGGTCATCTCTCCATCCTCTGAAGTGAGTCTATGCCCTTTTTGGAAGCTTATAAAGAACCCAGCTTCTCCTTTCAGTAGACTCTGAAATAAATGTTTCTACAACCCGCTTCCAGATGAGACCCAGAGACCCGCAGCACAGACGAGAAATGCCTGTTTGCTGTATGGGAATTTCCACTCGAGCCACACCTCACCTACGGAAAATGAGGACAATCCAACATGAAAAGAAACAAGAAAAGCATAATAAAATGGGGTGTTTGCATAGGGATGCTTCCTGTTATCACTTCCTGACGTCTTCTTTGCCTCCATGAAGTGGCTAGTGCTTCTCCTTCCCACCCCACGGTGGAAACGGCCCACAGCAAAGGGCCTGGCTCTCGGCAGGAGTGAAAGAGGGTCCCCTCCTTGCACCCAAAGTGCACAATTAGACAAGTCCACGTCTACCACCACTGCGACTGCAATCAGATGGAACTGGGAAGGAGCAGTCCCACTGTGACTTCACTCAAGTCTTTCAAAAGAAAAGTATAACATCAACAGAACAAGGGACCCCAGTTCTTGGTGGGGCTACACGCATGTACGAGTCAACTTTGTTACAATCGGTGTTGTCACAGAAACGGTGAAAAATGAAATTGGTTGTAAGTTTGATACATTCTGCTTCAAAAATGTCATTTTACAAAAGAAACTGGTCTTCGCCTCCAGGGAGAACAAGAGCAGGAAGGAAATCAACTTTTCATTGCATCCTTCCTTGTTCCTTTTTGGTCTCATACCCTCCATGAGCTACCCATTCAAAAGTAAAAACGCCTACTTTGAAATATCCTAAACCTCAGATGTGCCAAACGATGATTCGATGTTAACTGAGAGCAGCTTTGAGACAGGACGATTGTGCAACCACCTGGCAGAAAATCCACATTCTTCATCTTCTCTGTAAGTTACTAACCCAGTTCCTGACCAGAAAACACAATGAAAACCCGAAGGCCACACGAAAGAGACTCTTCTTCGTGAAGCCCCGACCCTTTCTGCCCACGAGCCAAGGAGTCACCGTCACCTACCATCCCGGCCATCATCATATCCTGGTCGGCGTCGTCCTGTTTTTTCTTCAGCTCCTTTTCCGCTTCCTGCAGTTGTTTCAACATATTGTTCACCTCGCTATCCAGGTCTGTCACTTCTGCAAACGTCCTTTCAGCCTCTGCCTTGGTGCTGGTGGCATTCTAGGCACAAAACACACAATGGTTTAAAATAAGTAAGTCAGTAACAGCGTTCCCACTCCTTAATCCGTCACCTGGCTCGAAAACACGATCCAGAAAGAACAGGGCAGAACGTCCACTGCGTGCGGACTGATGGTTCCGTTTATTTTTTGTCTCCTCTTGACGGATCCTTAGAACTTCAGGTTCTGTTACTCCCACTGGGGGTTGAGGCCACAGAGCTGGCAAATGCTGAACACCGAAATGGGGTGCACGCTCCACCACATCGTATTGATTAGATTCTTTCACTTGGATAAATTTTAAATTCAAAACTGGCCTTGTTCTACTTGACGGTTCATCATAATGTACAAAAAGCTCATCATCCTGAGACAGGGGGTACTCTATACAATACAGTTAAGCTGAAACGGACTGTTCTAAAGAATCGAAAAAAATATGTGTGATTCTCAAATGTGTAATTTTAGAACCAGAACCAATCCCCCTTTCAATAAAACAAATAGACTGACCCACAGGTAGGGAAAAACGCCAGCCTAAAGAAATCACTCTTAACAATGAGCAGAAGAATCCAGCAAGGGCAGCTGCAGAGATTCTCAACAGGTAGGCAGGGCTTAGCCACGGCAAAATGCTTGAACGAGCAGCTTCAAAGCTCTACTGACTTGGCAACTCTCTACACGACTGAAAAAGAATGTCAACTGTCCAAGTCAAAGAACTGTGCCTATTTAGAGAGTCTGACTTTTCTGTAGGAGGGGGCTCTCTGGGTCCCCAAAGCCATCCTCCTGCTTACACTTCAGACCCTGCCTCTGAGACAGTCAGAATTTTAGAGTCAAAGACCCTTTTAACGATTCTCCCTCCTCCATCAGTGTGGTTACCCACTCTGATGCCCAGTCAAAATAAATAAATTAATTAATATATAAACGACAAGGTTCAATTGCAGTCATTTGACTGAAGTCAAGGAAAAAAATTTAGAGGGCTCCTGGGGGTCTGGAAAGAAACCGGAACGTGACCAGAGAAGTAGCCGAGCAAAGACTGTTCGGAGAGGCACGCGCACCTGCTGGACGGCGCGGGCGATCCTCTCCGCCTCGTGGGCCTTGTTCTTCGCCTCGGTGGCGTCCGCGGCCGCATTGCCCAGGGCCAGCTGTGCCTCCCTCGTCTTTTCATTGGCTTCGATTATGGTCTGGTTGATGGCAGGGATTCTCCTTAGTGCCTCCTCTGCAGCGGTCTTGTTGTCATTCACTCGCTTATCGAAGTCTAGAACAAGGTCAAGGAATGCATTGAACTAAACTGTCAACGAGCCGAAAGAGAAGCTCTGGGGGAGACGCGGCTGGATTTCATGTTACGAACGACGGAAGTGAGGGGAGAAGGACGAAAAGAGCATGGACTGACATCTCAGGACAGCGCCCACGGCTCTAGCGGGAGACTCCGGGAATGAACGTCTGTTTCTGGACCGCAAACTCTTACCCGAGAAGCTTCTTTTCAGGCAGAGTGTGGAGCACGCCCTCCCTACCACCTCCACCAATATTAAAAGCTGCAGTTGACTTGTGTTCACTATGTACTAGGTGCTGAGTTAAGAGCTTTATGAGTCTGCGAGACCGGCACTGGATCATATTAACATGTGAGGGAACTGAGGATCACAGAGGAAGATAATTTCCCCAAGGATTCACTGTGAGATGGGGATCGGCGATTCTAACTGCACCGCACTTAATTCAACCCCTCTCCTGCCAAGCTTCCGTATTCACCGAACCCGTGGCTACTTTATCAGAGACAAGTCCAGGCTATGCAGTGAATGCAGAACATTTCTTTTTCATCTGGGCAGGAAAACACAGACTGAGATGCAACTGGCAGAGAAAATTGAAAATTTCCTTTTGTTTTTCCATGCTGAATTATGCAGGACTGAGATGGCATGAGCTCTGGGTTTTTTGCTTTGAAGTACTTCATAGAAAAGTAAGGTGGGCCCTGGCTGGGTGGCTCAGTTGTTCGAGCATCATCCCGTACACCAAAAAGGTTGCGGGCTCGATTCCTGGTCAGGGCACACACCTAGGTTTCGGGTTCGATCCCCAGTCGGTGTGCATATGGGAGGCGACTGATCGATGTTTCTCTCTCTCTCCAGAAGGTAAATAAAAACATATCCTTGGGTGAGGATTAAAATAAAAAAGCAAGGTGGGTGCGGGGGATGAAGTAAATGCAGTAAAAATCATAACTGTTGAATCTGGATGATAGATATATGGAATTTATTATACTGCAAATTATACTACAATAGTCCCCCCCCCTTATCTGTGGTTTTGCTTTCCAAAGTTCCAATTATTTGAGGTCAACCACAGTCCAAAAATATTAAATAGGGAATTTCAGAAACGAACAATCCCTACGTGCTCAGGGGCACGGCGTCCTGGGCAGCGTGAAGGAATCGCCGACCATTCCGCCAACCATTCCGCCAACCATTCCGCCAACCATTCCGCCAACCATTCCGCCAACCATTCCGCCGTGCGTCGTCCCTGCAGCCAGCCTAGCGGTCTATGCAGTACGCACAATGCAACAGGATATTTCGAGAGAGATCACATTCAGTCCCTTTTATTACGGTATATTGTTATAGCTGTTTTATTTTATCAGTAGTTATTGTTGATCTCCTATGTGCCTAATTTATAAGTCAAACTCTTATGGGTTTGTATATCTAGGGGGTGGTACTATGTGCAGTTTTAGGCATCCGCTGGGGGTCCTGGAATGTATCCCCCACAGGTAAGGGGAGGCGACTGTATTATCTTTCATACTGTGTATGTTCAGAGAGTTTCATGGGAAAGATTTTTTAAAAAGGCACTCACCCTTGTGGAGGAAGTGTACGAACTGACCTGTTACCTGACCCTTTCGTACCTTTCAGGTTGTTGAGAATGTCGTTGGCTTCTTGTAAGGTGTTTCGTCCCCTTTTAGCAGCTTCTTCCGCAAGAGCCTTGGCAGCATCAGCTCGGGCCAGGAGCTGGTCGGCAGTCTGCAAACACAAGGCAGATCAGAGGCCAAACCGGCCAAGCTTACCCCCTCCCTCCTAGATCAGGCACCTCCGGGCAGCCACCCTGAGACTTGCCAGCGCCCAGCGGGTCAGGCCTGGGCATCCGGCATAAGGGCCTCCTCGGAATATTTCGTGTTTGCTGCCTCTGCAGCTGAGGTGTCGTTACAGACGCGGCTCACACCGGCCCGGTGTCAAATGCTGCCCAGGATAGGAAGCAACCTGCACATCCAACCAACCTGCTGCTCGACCTTCCCGCTCTCCAGGAGTTTCTTCACTTCGAATTCCTTCCCTCGCATGTCATCTCTGAGGTCCTCATAGTCTTTTAACTTCTGGTCAATCAGCCGGTCCAGATCCTCAGCTTCCTTCTTTATCTTATTTGCCTCATTCTATGAAAAGCAGGTAAGATCATTCCATTTTAGACCAAACAAACGGATGAAAAGGTAGGCTTAGTAACTCTATACTACTTAATAGGTATTTTTAAAAGAACAGCGTAGGTCAAGACATGGACCTTTTAAAAATCGAGGTACACTCGACGCATGGTAAAATTCACACCACTTCGTTTGATGAAACTAGACAAATATATTTACCTGTAACCAACACCCCAGTCAAGATACAGAATATTTCCACCCCAGGAAATTCCCTTGCACCTCTTCCCAGTCAGTTTCCGCGCCCACCTTCCAGTAATGCCGCTGCCACTGGTCTGGCTTTTATCATCACTGATTAGTTTTGCCTATTCTCAAATTTCATGTATGTGGAATCCTACAGTATGGACACGTCTGAAGAGACCTAAACCTTTACGGTAAAAATCAAGTCAAAGCCTCAGGTGTAAAAAGTGTAACTCATAAGTGTCAAGATTAATGCAAAACAACAAACACCTCCATGTGTCTAAAGCCTGGTATAAAGATTCGTGATTCGAGTCCAGATGAAATGAAAGACTGCTACCAATTCCAAAATACCTTACCTGGCCCAGAGCGTCTTGATACCGTTTTTTTTTTTCCCCTCATTTAAAACATTCTCTTTCATTTCTCTCTCGTTCTCAACCAGAAGGTGTCTGGGAGCAATGGTCTAGGTGTACTCTGCTTTAATTAATCCAAATATATTATAATCTGGATTTATGTCAAAGATTTAGGAGTGACTAAATCTTTCATATCACTAAAGCAGCATTTCCTAGTTGATATTTATAATCACAGGATTCTTTATCTCAATCAGTTCTATTTTGTATCTAAATTAATGCTGGGGGGGGAGGGCGGGAACGGGAGGAGGGTGTCAGTGGGGGAAAAAGGAGAAACATCTGTAACAAAAATAAATTAATTAAATAAAAAAATAAGTAAAATAAGAACCCGGCTTTACCAGTGAGTCCGCGGGCGCACAGCGGAGGTGGTACCAGGGCCCGCTGCAGGGCGGTCAGAAGAGCTCTCACCCGACCGTGTGCGCGTGGGGGTGAGGGTGGGGCTGTGACGAGAGCAGGAACGACCAAAGCTCTGTGCACACAGGTTGTCAACCCCATACCTCCAGGGCTTCCGAGTCCACGGGCGCCAGCTGGGCCACGCTGGCGTAGATCTCCACCGCTTTCTCGCCAGCCCTCTTGGCCTCCTCGTGTACCCGCGCCGCCTGCTTCTCTAGATCCTGCGAGATGTTCTTCGCTTGTTCGTACCTGAGGGACAGGGGATGTGACTTCGTGAAAAACGCGACTGCTTTTAACAGCTTGATTTTAGATGGGTTTGTTTCAGCTTGAATCGCTATGACGGTATTTCCAAAACCGCAAAGAAAGTGCCACCTTCAAATGCGACTGTTTAATACCAACGTAGCTGAAATGTACATTTCATCTCATCAATTCTATTTGTTTACCTTATACTTTCTCATATCAGACACTTTAAAAGTATTTATAACTCAAGTATATTTTCCCTCTGTGATGATGCTTTTTCTCTTCTGTTTTCGTTCATGCAGGATTTTAAGTATCATGGCCAGTCTCGTTACCCTCTTCTGCAGTTACAGTAATTGGATCAAGTAAAGCCCCCTGCTCTAATTATGGCACCATGTGAGAAGCAGGATAAACAAAAGGAATTACGGCATGCACACACCCTGAACCCGCCAGCATTTACTTTCCATTCAACGGATGTTACTTAAAAGAACGACTGAAAGGCTATTAGCCATTTAAATTTTACTCACTTTCTATTAAGCTCTTCAATCTCAAATGCTGTTTGATTTTCTCCTGCCAGTGTCTTCAACAGCAGATTGTATGCCTCAGTTGATGTGTCACTGGCTGTCTGTGCCACTCGGACAATGTCATCAGCTTCTTGTTTATGCCTATGTAACGTATAAGGAAAAATAAACCATGGAACAGAACCATCTAATGGGGAAAGTAGAACTCAGGTAATGCTTTACCTTATTACATGTACATACATTAAAAAATATATACCTCTGCAAATATTGGAAGAGCTTATAAATTTGAAAACTCAGTGGGCCCGAGTTTACAAATAGCATCTATAATCTGAGAAAATGATATTTTCCAAGAAAATTAATGGTATAAAATTTATATGAGCAAATGTTTATATTTCTTCAAAAACATACTTATAATCACTGAAGAGTGATTTATATACATAAAACCAAGTATACTAGCAAGAACTCATGAATCTACTCATAAACACACATCCCAGACCTAACCGGTTTAGTCACTGCCCTGGTTCAGTTACTACAGTCCTGAAATAGCTTTGACTATTCAAATTTCTTACATGCAGCCCAATTACTGGCCAAGAAAAAGTAACCCAACACCAATGGCAAGGAACATAGCAACAGGCTCTCCAGGCAAATAATGCATTTTCACTGGGTAACCCCTAAGGTTTTTTTCATTAGCTCTAAAATGTCACATTGTATTGTCACACTGCAACACGCAGCCATTCTTCTTGGCATGATACACTTTCCTTCAAAATTCATGTGTGAAGTACACTGGAATTAACTGATCTCCAAGAGCTAATTTTCTTGGGAGCCTCCCATAATGTTTTCAGCTGTCTTCCTTCTATCAGAAAACCCAGCTATGAAACCACGAATGTGCTATGGACGAAGCCACACGTTCGCATTCACATACAACCGAAAGAGAGCACGTGTGAGCAGGATGCCAGTGTAAGCAGGATGCCAGCGTAACTGCCCTGCGCACTGGGCACTGAGGCTGAAACCCCCACATCAGGCTTATTAAGCAGCCCACACCCATGAGGTCGACAGCTGTTCTGCAAGGCACTCGACAAACTTCCCACATGCCCTACCTTGTTTTAGGCATTGGGACTTCCGCGGTGGCTGAAACACAAAGATGCCTGCCCTCACAGAGCTACATTCTAGCAATTTTATTAAAAAATGCTTTTTAACTTGATGTCCTCTACAACTTAAAGTTTTCTTCAGAAATTATATTACACTTAATTTTTTAAAAAATCAGAAATAAGCCTGGCCGGTGCGGCTCAGTGGTTGAGTGTCGACCCATGCACCAACAGGTCGCCAGTCCAATTCCTGGTCAGGGCACATGCCCAGGTTGTGGGCCCGATCCCCAGTGGGGGGCATGCGGGAGGCGGCAGATCGATGTTCTCTCTCATTGATGTTTCTAGCTCTCTCCCTCTCCCTTCCTCTCTCTCTAAAATCAATAAAGGATAAACATTTTATAAAAAGTCAGAAATAAAATGGTCTGGGTTTTTTTTGGCTGATATTCAAATGTTCTATGGCTCAGTAAATGTTTTCTACTGAAACTTAAAAATTAAACCTTTTTATGAAAAACTTAAAAAAATTAAATAACTAAATTCTACTGAGCTTCTTAGTTATCTATTAACTTTAAGGTTCTAAATATCTAAAAATGTTATTTTTTCAGATGTGCAAATAGAATCTCCCTTCAAGCCATCATACTCTAATATTCAAAATAAATATTCTAACTTCAAACTGCAAGAAGAGCACACGTAGCTGAGAACGTTTCAGAAAAGAGCAAACTCTGCAGGAGGGGGTTCCGTGGCGAGAGTCTGTGGGCGCAGGATGGGAGGTGACGTCCACACCACGAGGAGAGCCACAACCCCCCGTTAATTACCGTTCTGCAAGCTTTCGAGCCTCTTCTGCCAAAAGAGTCATGTTGTTCGGGTCCCCGGTGGAGTCTGGCTGAGCGATTGACTGAAGGGAAAATACACAAAGCACTCATCTTAAAGGACTGAATTACTTAATTTTAATAAAGCAAATGTCAAAACTAAATTTTTAGCCCTGGCCGGTTTGGCTCAGCGGTTGGAGCATCGGCCTGTGGACCAGAGAGTCCCAGGTTCGGTTCCCGCTAGGGGCATGTACCAAAAGAAAAAAAAAAGCAGCATCCTTGCTTGTAGTTCATTGCTTCTGTTTTCAGGAAAGGATAAAAGAAGCTAAAATTGCCTAGTGCCATAGAAAGAGCAAAGCTAGAGAAAGGACCCAGATGTCCTTTGGTTTTTATCCAGCTCCTGATAACTATTTCATGACAACCATGAGCAATGTGGCTTTCCTGCTCCATGTTCGGAGATCAATAACAAGTCAAAGGAGTCAATTTAGCTAAAGGAGCGAGCCCTCCACTGACTGTCACAGACCTTCAACGCCCCCACCCCCACCTCGGAGCATTGCAACCACTCACCACGTTGGCCACGGCAACTTTTGCTTTCTCAAGTTCCCTGGACGCGATTTCAATCAGCTGCTCTGTGCTTTCTACCCGGGCACGCGCTTGTTCAGCCAAGTTCCCAGTCTCTTCAATGGTATTCCGGATATTCTGCAAACGGCTAATTTGGCTGGATAAGGAGTTATTCACTCTCTGGAGGCGATCCATCAAATTTTGGTCCACATCTGCAAAGGCATTGCAGTAGGTGCATGAATGATTACAAGGCGATGTGGGGGGACATGTCACCTCACATGGGATCCGAGGTGCCCCTGATCCTTACTCTTCCAAACACAGCATCTCTCTGACAAGTCCCCTAAGCTCATCAGCAGAGGGGGTCAGTCGTTACTGTGCCCAGTGACAGTCATCACAGTGTCTGTCTGCCCCACTTGGCTCCATGCTCCGCTTTCTCACTCGTCACTACATCCCCAGTCTTACACCACGATTGACAAAGAAGACACCCGAGAAATGTCTGATGAAGAAAAGATGATCACTTTCCAGCACATGCCAGAGTTCATCATAAAAATACCATCTTGTTCAAAGCACTACTGGCCCTGGGAGCCGGACATTTTTCTAAACTAGAAAAAAAATAAGTTCAGATGTTGAAGTATGGCAAATTAAATTCATTTTGTATTTTTTTTTTTTTTATCCTCACCCGAGGACATTTTTCCATTTTTTGTTCAGATAGAGCGGGAGGGAGAGAGAGGAAGAGAGAGAGAAACATCGACGTGAAGGGACACATCGAGTGGCTGCCACCCGCACGACCAACCAGGGCCGGGGACAAACTGCAACCGAGGTACGTGCCCTTAGCGGGAACCTCCAACCGCTGAGCCAAACCGGCTAGGGCTTCATTTTGTATTTTAAACTATATAGACTCTCGCTGTCACCTCCTACCCCTGGCACATCTGTGTAATTTCTTTCCAACTGATTTCTGCTTTTGAATAGCTCTTCAAATTCTTCTTTATTAATTCAGCCCATTCAACTTAAGTCTCATACCTGGGTCCTGATAAATCAAAGACAGATATAAGCCCATAAAAATATAATTCTGTCATTATTAAAATTCTCACATGTTATGAGGTTAGGATAATACACAAGAACTGTTAGGTACGTCCTATTCAAAATTGACCAGGCTTACTTACAGCATGATACTCAGTGTTGGCATCTAATTTTCCAAGGAATGAAAAAACGATGAAAGGTCAAAGTGAAGATCAAAGAAGATGAATTACAGGTTTGGAAAATAGCAACTTGTAAGCAGGGCCACCAAATCCATGTGCAAAGTTGGTGTTCTGCCAACTCTCACCTAACTCTACCCTGTGGCCCTGCTTGGATGATTATTTAAACACATCTTTGATAAGCTAAAGATCTTAAAAGCCCCTTCCCTTTTTAGAACTTCAAGAATGTCACCGATACCAATCTCCGTGGATAGTTTTTCAGAGAAACAACGTATCTGAAAAGAGATAACCTATTCAATAGATAACCTATTCAAATGCCTTCCTAGTCCATGTGTCTAACTGCAAGACCTAATGGCACCCTTCAATGTCCTTTGAAAGCTGCGCGTAACACACGTTGAAACTACAAACGACTACTCAGGGATGGTCTGAGAAGATGGGCTAGTCTGGGTCTAAGCAGGAAAGGTCAGCCAGCAATACGTCCTTTTTGATGTGCTGAGAGAATTTTTTACACTTACTGTATCTTAAAACATTAAGTTGACAGGTTCTTGTATTTTTACGTATTGTTTAAGAAGTAATTCATAGTGTACACATCATTTAAAAATTGAGAAAGAATTCTCTAAAACCATACTAATTCCCCTTGGATTAGGAGCCACCTCCAAAGACTGGCTCGCCTCCCGGAAGTCACCCACTGTTGGATCCTGCGTACCTTTGACATCTTGAGCCTCACGGAGAAGGTCCATCACTGCTCTTTCCGCTTCCTTCAGTCGATCCTCAAAGGCTTGATCCGTCACCACCTCACCCCCCGTGCCAAGGTTTGCCATGAGATTCTCTAATTCCTGGAGTTTCCCTCGATGCTCAGTAACCTAAACACAATGAAGAGAAGAGAGGAAAAGGTAAGACATGCAAGGATTCCTGAAGAACTCGACTGTGCCTCCTGCCGGCACCCTCGATGTGAGGGTCCGAGCACTCCACGCATGCCTGCCCACAGAGCACGGATGGCTCTTCGCTTGTCTGGCTGGCCCATTCCATTGACTTCATTTTTATTTCTGTCTTTTACTTTTGTCAATTACAGTTTACATCCACTATTATTTTGTATTGTACCGCATGGTGGTTAGACAATCATGGAGTTTACAAAGTGTCCCTGGATATTTCCAGAGCCGACCTGGCACCGCACGTAGTTGTTACAACAGTACCGACTATTCTCCCTGTGCTGTACGTCATTCCTTTGCCTTGACACACTCCGTGCTGAGGGTGCTCCAGTTCTCACCTCCGGATATTCCCCGTCGGCTCTCTGACAGGTATCTCAACTTAACATTCAATATTATGCTCTAATTTCTTCCTCTTAAATCTGGTATCTGAGTCATCTCAGTAAATAATGCCTCCAGCTAGCTTAAGCAAAAAATCCAACATCCATCCTGATTCTTGTTTCCCAATCCTTGCCCCCCCTGACTCCTACCCCCCAAACAGACATAACCATCCAATTCAATCTAGGTCTCCCCTTTAGCCCCACTCCTAACCATCATTCTTCCTACAGAAGTCAGAGTGTTCTTCAAAGGTGAGTGGATTTCCTAGTTTAAAACTCTTCAGCACTTTTCCATTGGATTTGGGATAAAATCTAAATTCCTTACTATGGTCAACACATGTGACATAAACTGTCCCTCCCAACCTCCCCAGTCTTGTCACAAACCGCACCCTCACCATTCGACTTCGTACCTCCAGCTTCGGGGCCTTCGTACTCACATCCCCTCTGCCCGGAGCAGCCTACCCGCCGCGTGCTTGCTCCCTCGCATTCTCAAACTCTCACCTTCAGTGCCTTTCCCGAGAGAGGCCTTGGGAAAGTAGCCCCGCCCCCGCCCCCAGTTATTCTGTTTGCATTCTATCTGGCACCTGTCTCAGGTAGGATTTCTTTATTTAATGTTTATTATTTATCCCCCAACTGGAACACGAGTCGTTGAGAATAGGGACTGTGTCCCTATTTTTCTCCACCACTTTTTCTCTAGAGCTCAGAGCACAGGGACTGGCCATTCAACGTCTGCACTGTGAACGAACGAGCGAACGAACGAACGAGTGAATGAATGACTGTGTGCTCTGTGGGCAGCTCACCTTATCCTTCACCAGCCGGTAACATGCTGGACATTCCTGGCAGCCAGGCCAAGAGCGATTGTAGAAATAGTTCTCTTCACATTGGTCACAGCGATTTCCCACAAAGCCTTCCCGGCATTCACAGCGACCATCATCTTTGCACTGGAGCGACCGAGACCCCTCAGGATGACAGTCACAGGCTGCAGAATGAAGGGAAAAGCGGACATAATGAGGGAAAGAAGGAAGAGTGCATTTTCTTCTAACTCAGACCAGTAATAAGCCGATTATACTAACATTATAAGACGACTTTTTTTTTAAAAAAAAACAGGCAGATTTAGGAAAATTTAAATGGTTAAGTCTACTTAGGTAATAATATAAAAAATTTTCTAGCAGAAGTAAATTTTGAAGTAAAATATGCATCCTTTGGAGGGGGCACATTTCATGTTACTTAATAATTACAGAAATTAGTCTATTAAACTAATCAATTCCCTTTTCGTACAATTGGAGAATTCATTTCTCTGATGTTTAATATTTCTCTAATGAAGGAAAAAGAAAACCCAAATGCTAATGCTTATACTGTATTATTTTATAATCTGTTTACTCATTTTGTTCTCTGAACTGAGTCAGTGACTTATGCTACATTCCGCAGGAGAAATGAAGGAATTTGGAAAGCAGAAACTCAAACTGTTCTGAGGCCTAATTCCAGGCAAGTGTTTATGCCAAGGAGGAGCAGCTGTTTACATGTAACCGCACCAAAAGCGCCCCGAGGGCGGGAAGCGACTGCAGCCAGAAAGTCAACAAACATGTTCGGAACAGAATCCCTCACTGTTTCATCATCTGCACTAAGAATGTGATCAATAAAAAGTTTCACTAAGCATAGTAGGAGCACTCGGTAGTCAAAGGGAGACTTTTCCTTGGAAAAATAAAAGACGGGCAGAAGGGAGAATCAGGAACATTATAACAGAGGACATACATGAGGTGTTTGCAAAGAACCTGGGACGCGCTCAGTCCCGAGTTTGAGAAAAGGACTCGAGCGTCGGTGACGACCCGAGTTGCCCTGCGTGACCCGGAGCGGGACAGGCTGTCGGGGTGCCCTCTGGACTGATGGCTGGAACCGGAATTAAGGGAGACAGAGTTCTGTACCATCAACGCTCCTTACGTTTGCAGCCTTCGGGTCCAAACCCAAAGTGGTTGACTTCGCAGCGCTCACAGTGCTGCCCGGTGATGCCCGGCTGGCACTCACACTGGCCAGTGCGGATGTCACACTGTCCGTTTGTGGAACCCAAAGCATGGCAGTCACACCTGGAATGAACACGTGACATTCCTCAGGTAAGAAAAACAGACTTTAAGCAAACCCCTCTCCCCCTTTCAGCACAGGACTGATGTGACTTCTGAAAGAAAACAGAAGGTTAAGGGCCACTGAGCCCAAGGTTCAAGTAATGTTCGGGAGTTGTATTCGTAACCTCGTTTTCTAAGCTAGCACAGAGACACTGACTCCACCATGAACCCGCTGCCTGAGGTTCCAGCCTGGCACCACGTAGGCACCGCCCAGGAGCTCTGAGACCACGAATTCCTCAACTGCCAGCTTGGAAGGTCTGACCCTAAGCACCTCCGAAAGGCCCATCATTTGTGTACTTTTTAACAACGCTGCTCAGGTGACACTGACGCAGCCGGGCCCCCGCATTCCGCTCTGCTGGCCCATCAGCTTAGTCACAACCCTGCAGTGCTGCCTCCAAGGGGCCCTGCCCTGTCGGGCACTCAGATGACCGCGGACAGAGTCAACCCCCGACCGCACACACAGCCTGTCTCCTGATGCAGACAGTGAGGACCACCTCCACCGAAGGCACCGGTGCTCACCTCTCGCAGCCTTGCCCGCTGTGCAGGTTGTAGAACCCGGGGTCGCAAGCTCCGCAGTCCCGGCTGGTGACGTGAGGCAGACACTCGCACTGGCCGGTCACAGGGCTGCAGCCACTCTGGCGGCGTGTGGTCCCGTAGGGGTTGCAATTGCAGGCTAAGGCGGGCGGACAGACAGCAAAAGAGGCAACTCACCGGGGAGAAGGGGGAATGGCGACTACACAGACTCTGGACCTGTGCTGTGCAGTCCCGCAGCCCGGTCGCCTGCAGCTGGGGAGCAGGCGATGGGCAGCCGCTCCTCCCTGAGCTGTGCTGAAGGTGAGATGCACACTGGATTCTGAAGAACTTGGCGGGGGTACAAACATGCATCTCCATAACGCGTTACTGGCTACTTGTGGAAATGACATCAGATACATAAGGCTACGTAAAATGTATTAAAATTAATGTCACCTGTTTCTCCTCATCTGACTGCCTCTGCTAGAAACATTTAAATCACACGAGTGGTTCGCCCGTTATTTCTATCGAGAGGTGCTGCTTCAGACCGAACAACTGGAAATGTTTCCACACACTGAGTTCTCAGGATGAGCACTATCGGGACAGAATCTGGCTGGTGGCGGATCACCTTTGCATTTGTCTGCCGGATTGGGAGCCAGCGGGTTTCCAAAGAATCCGTCTTTGCACCGGTCACAGTAGAAGCCAGCGGTGTTATAGATGCATTTCAGGCATTCTCCCGTCAAGCGGTCGCAATTTCCGACTGCGTTGGGATCGATGTTGTCGTTGCACTGACACGGACGGCAGAGCCGCACAGGGCCTTGTCTCCCCAGAGGGTCTCCGAAGTAGCCATCGTCACAGAGCTCACATCTTTTACCTGAGCACAAGACAATCCAAGGTTATCTAGGTGTTTCTGGTGCTACTGGTTACAAAGAGCCTACGTACACATTACCACTGGTTACAGCTCGTCTGGTGTAACCATCAGTGGGGAAGCCATACAGTGCAGTGGGTGAGGCACCAGTCCAGAGCAGACAGGGGCTGCGGACCCGGCACTGTGCCAGACCAGTGGAGCGACCTTGGGCACACCTCCATTCCCTCATTAGAAAGTGGCACCTGGTTTGCCTACTTCAACTCAATTGTTCTGAGGATTACCTAAAATCACACACTGAATGTGCTTTATAAGGGAGTTGGGCTCAGAGTTTACTAACCTCTCCATTCCCAAACAAACATTCATATATGTTTGTTTTGTTGATGATATTAAGAAAGATGAAAAGGTGACTCTTGATGCCATAAATATCCTATACAACAGGGTGAGTAGAATCATTCTCTTAAAAAATAAAAGGTGCTTGCCAATCCCTGTTTGAGCAGCATCAACGAGCACAGAATCGGAGCATCTTAGAAGGGAACTTAGAGATTGTCACTTGCCACCCATGTCCATCTTAGCTAAGGAAACAGAGAGAAAAGTTAAATAACTTGCCCACAACCACACAGCTGATACACAGAAAGGGAGACAGAGCTAGAATCCAGGGCTTCCCACGTGCTGAACTCATGACTCAGTGAAGCAGAAGAGATGACAGTTACGGACCAGGGCAGCAGAAGAACGGAGAAGTGGTCAGATTTGAGACAGAACCAGTAACAGTTGCTGGATGCGGTGTATGCGGGTCTCGTCAAGGAGCCAGTTCCATGAAGCATGGAGGAGTGCATACGGAAGGCTTTCAGCCCACCTCCCAAGTAGAGATGGCAAGTAGGCAGCTGGTGCTCAGGACAGCAAGGTCAGGGCTGAAGACACAGACTGTGCAACCGTAGCACAGAGAGGCTCAGAAGCATAAAGACAGGCTCTGCTCACCTAAGGGGAGCCTATAAAGTTGACACGAAAGCCCTAGGTTGAGAATCAGAAGTGATCAAAGGAGACCCAAGAGGAGGAGAGGGGAGGGGAGGGGAGGAGAGAGGTAGGAGGAAACTAAGGAGAGGGAAGTGTTGACAAAGGCAAGAGGAGAACATCTCTGGAGCAAAGTGAGCAGTCAACACTGTACAGTGTTGCTGAGACCGGGTCAGAAGAGGGCTTGAACCTGAGCGCCGCGGTTGGCTAACGGAGACCGGTGACGAGGCGAACAGAACATGTGGCTGGTGGGGCAGAAGTAGGATGCTGAGAGAGGGGAGGGAGCGGGACCTTCTTTCCTCTGATGTAAAGAGTTCCCAGACCCTCACCGAGATCGTTGTCCAGATTAGCATGAAGACAGCATTTCAGTTCTGCTTTCTCATCAGATAATTTAACTATTCAAGATAGGATCCACATTTAAGATGTTCTGAAATCTGTTCTGAATAAAACTTAATTTTAAAAATCTGGTGGAAAATCTAAGAGAACTACATGGTAGCTCATGAAAAGCACTCACTCCAGAAGATCCTCTGGCAGGGACAGCTGGTCTACCCTTCTGTCTTTGAGTATAGGTTCGAGTCCTGGCTGTATTACTTCTAAGTTGCTGGGCAGGTTGTATGTCTTTTTAGCCCTAGTTTTCCTTCTCATCCCTCCTGGCAACAGGAAAGGTTCTATTCCTTCTCCTTTAGTACACTGTGTATACATCCCTCTATCCAAACTCTCTGTATTAAAATAATCTCTGCTTCCCTTCAGACTTTTAGCCCCTGAAGAGTAGAGACCATTCCTCAATCATTTTTATATTCCCAACATCATGCACTCTTTGGTTGGGAAAAAAAAAAGACTTATTATTTATTTACCTCAAAAGATTGTTTAAAAGGTTAAATGTGAATGCAAACCACGTTTTAAGACCCCAGTGACTGTCAAGAATTATTTATATTCTTCAATAGTCTTCTAAATGAAGAACATCTTACCTTGTATTTGCAATTCAATAAATATTTGCATTCATTCCATAAGCACATATGCTGAACACTATGCTGGGTGTTAGGATACAAAAGTGAATAAAAGAGCCCCGGTCAGTTTGGCTCAGCAGTTGGAGCATCGGCCTGTGGACCAGAGTGTCCTGGGTTCAGTTCCCATGAGGGGCACATACCTCGGTTGCAGTTTGACCCTGGCCCCGGTTAGGGTCGTGTAGGTGGCAGCCACTCAATGTATCTCTCTCACATCGATGTCCCCCCCGCCACTCTACCTAAAGATAAATGCAAAAATGTCCTCGAGTGAGGATTTAAAAAAACAAAACAAAAGTGAACAAAATAGATGAAGGTCCCTGCTCTCACAGAGCTTAAACTGGGAGTAAAGAAGTAGAGGAGGAAGATGGACAATAAACAAATGAATACATGTGAAAATATCAAATGGTTCAAGAGGGATAACGAGTGAGAGCATTATTCACAGGGGCTATGCTGTTTTTCATACAGACACTCTCATTAACATCCTCAAAAAGTGCTACAGATCATTCCCTTCAAGCCAGATGGTAATAAAACAACTATATTTCACAAGCTTTGTGTCAGAAACACCTGACTAGTGACCAACATGTCTATAACATTTCCCAAGATCTCCTATTTTACATTCCACTTCTCCATTAAAGCATCCCAAGTCGTCTCAATCCACCATTGGTATTATTTAGTACAGGCATGGGAACAACCCCACTATGCTTAACTGTTATGTTGAGCAATTGCCATCCACCCAGTGAAACAATGAAAAGAGTAAGGAGATCTACCATCAACGTTATATTAAGTACATCTAAGAGTAGATACTATAAATGGGACACTCACTAGACCTTGTGGCTACAAAGTAAAGGGCACTAAGAACCTCGGGTAAGAGGGCAGGGAGGGGCTGTTGGAAAGCCTTCCTGAGAGAGTGATGTTTCAACCCAACCCTACAGAAGAGATGGGAGTTAGCCAAGAAAAGGGAGTTTGGGTAGGAGAGAGTGGAGTGAGCACTCTAAAGGAGAGGAGCATGTGGCCAAAGAGCCTGGCACATCTGAGGGACGACAAGCAGCCCAGGAGGAGCGTGGGAGTGGGTGATGGGGAATGAGGCTGCAGAAGTCTCCTGCGTGAGACTGTTGGGCCACTGTTTTTAAAAATAAAAGGCAGGAAAGAGTCAAAAATATAAAATTCTACACTAATTTCCCTTCCTTATTTTCTCAAGTGTCTTCAGCAAATGGTCACATCTGTGTTGCAAGCCCCTGTGCTCGGTGAGGGGTCAGCGGAGCAGGAAGGAAGATGGGGTGTTTGGAAGTTTCCCAATGATTAAAGAATGTTTTGATGAAACACAAGAGATACAGATTATTAGCTCAGTGTTTTGGTTTCTCACTTATTTTTATGCTCTGAAGCAATATCTTTGGAACAAAAGGCTTGTGATGGAGTCAAAGGCTGTATCAGAAGGCTGGCCAGAATCTCTCCGTTATGTGGAGGCTGAAGTCAATCAAGAAGAGAAACAGTCACCAGTGAGCCTCGGTCTCCTCGGCCAGCCAGCCTGGGAGGGCAGTTCCTTGAGTAGCTAGGAAAGATCTAGTTTTATGTTTTTACCAAAGAGAAAGAAACTCAGAGACTGGGAACACTGACCTATCCAAAGCTATTGAAAAAATGAACACATTTTCCCAACTAAATGTGATGGGCTTCAATACACTGAAACAACGATTTAAAGAAAGACGGTAATAACATATTTTTAAATTACCACTGTATATCAAGAAACCCAGGATAACAGCTCCAATCATGTTCTTACAAACACTAGAAACCAAGGTTTGGTTCTCATCTCATGAAGGAGAGCATAGTGCATTGATCATCATCTTTGGAGCCAGAAGGCTTGGTTGAATTCTAGCTCCTGCAGGCTTGTCATGTAACTTAGTGTGGCTGTGCCTCAGTTTTCTCAGCTGGAACATGGGGATGACAGCAGAGCCTACCTCATGGGGCTGTGAGGATTAATGAGGCCAGGAAAGTACCTGGCCATATATATGTTAGCTCTTATCAGTATGTGATATGCATTTTATAAATCTGTAATAAACCTGTTTCCTATAAAACTTTGCCTACTAAGAAAATTGTCATCATGAAGCCAAACAAACAAAAAATCCAGACACTCCCAAAGGCCTTCCCCCAAGGGGCTCTGGCCAGAAACAGCCAGCAGCTGGGAAGGGCAGCCTCACCGGTGGTGCCCATGGGACAGTTGGTGCAGACCACCTCCTGTGTCAGAGGGACCACAGCACAACTCGAGCCCCCAGGACACGGGCAGGGTGCGCAATCGGAAGAGGTGCCCGCGGTTGAATCTCCGTAGAACCCATCGCGGCACTTCTCACAGTGGGGACCGGCCGTATTGTCTCTGCAGTTGCAAACACCTATTTGAAGAGCAGGCAAATGAGACAATGAGCGATTCCCGCCAGTCTGCTGAAGGGAGCTTAACTCTAGCAGCCCCCAAAGAGCATCCACTCACCCGTCTCAGGGTCACAGGTCTCACTGTGCCCATTGCAGGTACAAAGCACACATGGACTGTATGGCCCGAGACTCGGCGTTTCTCTTCTGTAACCCGAGAGGCACATCTCACAAAACTGCCCTCCGTATCCCACCGGACAGGTGCAGGTCTCCACCCACAATGCAGGGGTCCCAGGCCCAGGAAGAGCACTTGCCAGGGTGACATCATCCAAATATCCGGCACCTGTGTGTAGTGTGGGAAAGAGAATCGCTGACCTGGCTTCTGTTTTCCAAAATCTCAAAAAAGTCATTAAAGGGTAACCAGACCCAAAATTCCAGAGGCAAGCAACCTTCAGTTTAATTCACATGTTGGAGAAGATAAGTAGAAAACAGCATTTAGTACAATCATGTGGTAGCTCGTGCTGGGTCTGGAATAACAGTCTAGCAACCTTATATTATAAACACACATACTGAGACTGGTGGGTTTCACAGTTCTCCCAATCACCCATGTAAAAAATGAAAAGCACCGGACCATAATCTGGGGCAGGAAGGGAGAAGAGCACGCCTGTGGAGGACAAGAAGAGTAAGGTCCTCAGTCCTGAAGCAGTGTTCCTTTCTTTGTGACAAAAGCAGACGCTGACGGACGAGTTCGAGGACAAGAACCGGGGAAAGCACCTGTCAGCAAGTGCCACTCAATCATGTTCTTACCCGCCCAAAACAGCAAAAATGAGCACACAAGTTCCGATGCTCAGGGCTACTTCAACCAGTATGCAACTATCCCAGAGCCATTATGCCATCGATCACAACGCTTCCCCATTTCCAGAAGAAAATACAAATAGAGGAAGCCTTACAATGGCTTATACCAATGGTTCAACCCCCAGTGCCTGTGACGGTCTCGGCTGGCACACCCCACATCTCCCTTGAATTTCCATCCCACTTCTGTCTCTCACAGTCTATCTTTCAAGTGCATTTCCCTATGTTATGATGTTTCATTGGCTGCTTATATAATTCTTAGAAGCTGACAACCTGAGGCTATCTCTTCTATGACTGCCTTGAAATTAGTTAATTTGGAATATGTTTATGGGTTTTTTCAACAATTAGATCATGAGATACTTTTCCATTGGCTCATGTGCTTCTAACTCTAAACATTCTTAAGTCTCCCCATCCTAAAATTACTCTTCCTCCCATCTTGTCCTTACTCCCGAATTACAGTCTCTCTCTTTTCCTTCCCTTATAGCTAGACTTCTTAAAAGAATAACCTTTACTTTACTTCTTGACTTTCAAATCGTTTACCAAAGCACTGCACTCTAACTTCAGTTTCAACACTTCTTAAAAAACAACACAAAACCTCACCGTGATTCCTTGGTCACCCAATCCCAAACCCAATCGTGTTATCTTCTTAAACTTGTTAATTGCTTCTCTTCCTTGAAATTCTTTTTCTCTCTTGAGGCTCAAGGCATGTTTCTTAAATAACTATTTTTCCAGAACTGCATGTTCTGCTCTTTTTTCCAAGTTTAAAAAGGACTGCCCATACGTCAACAACCGTTCAGTTCTAGATCTCCTGTCCCAACTTCTCCCTACGCCGCAGATCCATATTTCTAACTACTATTTATAAGACATTTTCATCTGGGCCCTCAAGCAGGCACCTCAAAATGAACAAAACCAATGACTTGAGGGCATTGTGCTATATGAAATAAGTCAGACAGAGAAAGCAAATACTGCATGATCTCACTTACACACGAAATCTTCAAAAAGAAAACAAAAGGAGAAAGAAAGAAACACACACACAAGAAACACTTAGCTCGTAGCTACAGAGAACAGAGATTGGTGGTTTCCAAAGTTCCCTTATAAACTAAAGAAGTCTCGGGGATGTAATGTACAGTAGCGTGGCAACTACAGTTAATAGTACTGGGCTGCATATTTGAAAGTTGCTAAGAGAGTAAATGTTAAAAGTTTCTATCACACGAGAATAAAAATTCTGTAACTAAGTATGGTGATGGACATTATACTTATTATGGCAATCATTTCACATTATGTACAAATGTCTAATCATTATGTCATGCACCTGAAACTTATGTAATGTATGTCAGTTATACTTCAATAAAATAAAATTTAAAAAAATCAACACATCCGAGCTGCTGAGGCCAAACTCAGTGCCATGCCACCACTCAGACTGCACTGCCCCCGGTTCTACCTTCCTACAGAGAGAGGACTTCATTCACATAAAAAAAATTTATAGGGAAAAAATTTGACAGGCATACCTAAAACTGCTTTGTTTATCTAAGATTCTAACAAATGTTCATTCGGTGATTGATAAGTTTTCCTAATTCAGCCAGTGGTTAAAAGGTTTGAGAATTAGAGAGCAATACATAAAAAGAAACAAAGGTTAAGTCACATGAGCCAGTATTTAGAAATTTTAGAAGAATCTATTTATATGTAACGTAATCACAGCAGGCTTATCCATTATAAAATAATAGTAGTTACTACTTTTAGCAAATTCTCTCCAGGTTCTTAAAAGTGGTTAAAAATAGATTATTTTTATACATAATTCATGTATAAGGAGGTAGTTTATACCCCTTCTTTAGGATCACTGTTATAGTATCAGGATTTTAGAGATGCCCTTTTGCATATTATGGCTCCTTCTACCTCACCATCTTGTTAAACAGCTCTCCTGAATTATATCATAACTTACTTCTTTCACTATATGTCCCACGGATCTTGATAGAGGTCAAGTTGTTAAGGAGCTTCTGAAATTCGAAAGGGGTAAGCGTAGGCCTCCAAGGGTAATCTGTTGCTTCGTGGAGCCTGGAGAGAAAGAAGGGGCCCCATTAACTTCTGGGGTCTGAGAAAGCACTTCTTTTCCATGTAGACCACCAACAATGCAACGCCCCGACAATCTAACCGACGCAGACGTCGGTCTGCTGGTTTGATGTCCAGGTGGCAAGGGCACAGGTGAACGAAGGGAAGGAAGTCTTTTACAAAGGTCCCCTTGTACCCCTGGGGTTTTCAACATTCACCTTGAGGCCTGACGAGCTCAGATAAAGAAACCACTTCCACATCTCGTCGGGTCGGGTTTTACGACGCAGACGTCTTACCTGAAGACGTACTTCACGGCTGTCTCACTTGGATAGGCATTGCCCTGTGCGATCAAGGGCACGGACACTCGCAGGCCAGCTCCCTCGAGCACCAGGTCCTCGGCGGAGAGGCGCGTGTCCCGCCTGTCCACTCGAAAGGAGAAGGAGAGGTTCTGGCCGTAACTCATCACCTGCTTGCCCAAGAACTTGGCTGGAACACAGACACACAGGGCAAGAGTGTGAGAAGAGGCCCCAGAGCAGGACCCCTCAGCCAGACCGTTTCCAGCCTCACTCACCAGGAGCAATGAAGTACCGAGGAAAGTAACTGTCCGAGATGACGGCGACATCTTGCCTCTCGGGGGACCACTCCAGGAATGCTTCAGAGCCGTCCCTCTGCTCTGCCCGCCACCCATCCTCATCTGCAAGCAGAGGACGAAAACACAGGCACCGTCACATTGCAAACACCTGACTTCACCTCGTCTATGGACCACAAAAATATACGGGAAGCACAGAGACAGACAGCAGTAAAAGTTCTTGAATAAATGAATCCTACGACAGCACTTATGTATGCTATACCCCTCCAGATATGTTTTGTTTTATTTTATGTAACATTTAGCAATGTTACATAAAATTCAACGGTAAATTCTAAAACTATATGTATGTTTTCATAAAGTACAGCATAGGGAATACAGCCAATAATACTGTAACAACTATGTATGGCGTCAGAGAGGTACCAGATTCATCAGGGGGAATCACTTCATAAATTATATGAATGTCGCTCTGGCCAGTTTGGCTCAGCGGTTAGAGCGTCGGCCTGCGGTCCAGAGACCTGGGTTCGGTTCCTGCTAAGGGCACCTCGGTTGCAGTTTGTTCCTGGCCCTGGTTGGGTTGTGTGGGGGCAAACACTCGATGTGTCCCTTTCACGTCGATGTTTCTCTCTCTGTCTCTCCCTCCCACTCTATATGAACAAAAAATAGAAAAATGTCCTCAGGTGAAGATAAAAAAAAAAAAGTAAGTTATATGAATGTCTAATCACTATGCTGTACCTCTGAAACGACTATAATATTGCATGTCAACTGTTGAGAAATAAAAAAATTTAAAAAACAAACATTACTAATCATAAAAACATATAGGATAAAAACAACACAAAAAATCCCAAGAAATAAAAAAGCCAAATTAAAAAAAAATCATGTTCGTTAAAAGCCATGGTGTTGCCACCATCGAAAAATCCTCCAAGAGTTACTGAATATTAAAAAATGCTGTAAGCCTATCTGCACTTCTGGGGGACGGAGGGAAAGGTCTGAGTTACCAATCTGGAAGGTTGAGGTTATAGGGTAGACGCTGTAGCCGCCGGCGTTCGTGCAGACGGAAGAATGCCCGAAGCAGAAGCAGGGTGTGCAGCCTCTGGGATTGGATGATTCCAGATTAAAAAATCCAGGCTTGCACCTGAAAAAGATTAAGATGCAATCAGGCATTTTTTGGAACTTGGAATAGGATAACGGAGGAAACACGATGCAGCTGGAGCGAGAAGGAGCTACCTCTCGCAGTTGAAGCCTTCCACGTTGTCTTTGCAGACACATCGTCCCGTTTCAACATTACACTCGTCCGTGCTGCCAGAGGGGTTACACGCACACGGCCTGTCGGGTGGGGAACGAACGAAACAGTGAGAGAAGACACAGGAGTAAAGCAATTCCACTCTTAAAGTGAACCTTTACTTCTACATGTTAATCATTTTTTAAAAACCCTAATAGAGCAAAATGAATACTAATGTCACTTCTATATTTAGATCTGGTTTCGATCGAGAATACCCATCACCAATATTATAAACGCTGCTTCAGCTCTGTACAAATCAATCCTGGGCCATCACTACAGCCAGAAGTCTTGAATCTTGCTGACAATTTTTTTTTTTGGGGGGGGGATGTTTATACAGCTGCAGATAAGCTACAAGATCTATTATTATGAATCAACTACATTTGGGTTCTGCCCCCTTCTTTGGGTTCTGAGAGGTGTCACCTGCATCCCGCCTCTGTGAGAGAATGGAAGCCGGGCTGGCACCGGTCACACTTGTCACCCATCACTCCCGGCTTGCAGCTACATCGGCCATAGCTGTCACACTGTGTGCTGAGAGAACCTGAAATTTAAAAAGCACGTCAACCACCAGGTGGGTCGGCAACACTAACGTTAAAGAAAGAAAATCAGTAATTAAAAACAATGCCTGAAAATCAGTATGTAGTCTCTAAATGGTTACAGAGCTAAAAGATCAAATTTTAAATCAGAGTTCTCTCAAAATCAGACCCCTTTAAGCCACCGCATTTTAACTTCCCAGACACACCGCCTACTCATCGATGTTGAAAACATGAGCAAGCCACTCTGTACCCAGTGGCAAACTGGACAGAAGGCCAGTCACCCCTCTGGGAGAGAGCACAGGCCCCTTCAGGGTCATGTCTAGAATTTAAGTATATACTGGCACGAAAAACAAATATAAAGGTCAAACTCTTGAACGAACATAATGGACTAAGAGTACACCACATCTATGAGCATACGCTAACATGAAACAGCTCAGCTCTCGAAGGATTTGAGACTAAACAAAATCATTAACAAGGAAGAACTCACGAAGCAGCCAACCTTGTACAGTCAAGTTCAAATGGTCTCTAGGATTTAGCTGCTAATTATTTACAGAACCATTACTCTGGCCAAGCCCAGTTTTATACACACCAGAAAATCATCTGAAAGTTCAACGCGGTTAGAGTGGAGGTGGGGGCCAGGCAGATCCTGACTGGTTCATGTGCCAGCAATGTCCACATTTCCATACTGAACCTGGGCAAATGCCTAGGAAACAGCTTTATTTTCTGGGGATACATGGAATGCTTATGGGGGGGAGGCCTTTCCACCCACTGGGCTGCTGCAGACTCTGCCTGTCACTTACCGACAGGACTGCAGTGGCATGGAGAGCAGGCTTCCGTGTCCCCAAGGCGGAAGAAATTCTCCCGGCACCGCTCACAGTTGGCACCGTCGGTGTTATCCTGGCAGTTGGTACAGTGGCCTCCATGGCCAGTGGATCGGTACAGTTCGGGGTCAAAGAAGCACTCTTGTGATCGGCCGTTGCACTCACAGGCTGTTGGCCAAACACATGAGTTAAGTGAGATCCATGTTCCTTTACAAATAGCGTTATCTCTAAGACTCGAAAAAACAAAAAAGTAAAAACCAAAGCATAATTTCCCACATCTCTCTGACAGGTGGTGTTAGAATAAGAATGACCACAAGATACATTCTTCATTAAAGAAAAGAAAAGAAAGAAAAACAGTATGTCAATAATGGGTTTATACAGCCTGGTTATTAGCTTACTAGGAAATGTTCATCTTTATGAAAAACAGCACCATCATAAAAGACAAGGAATTCTTGTTCTTAACAAGAAAGGAATCTCCAGGTCAGTGTTCATATACAAGTAAAAGGCAAGTCAACTTACAATGTTCAATGTTTCTGGAATCTTCATCCTTCATCCTAACCCCACCTCCAAGAACAAGGTGCCCATAAATAGGCAGGCTTCAATTCACCTTAGCGTTTCAGGCCTCACATGATTCAAATATCTAAGATACTAACGTTCACAGTGCCAGACTGGGCTAACCTGAGACACATGGGTTAAAATTAGTGCCTCTGCGGATGGAAGCAGAATTACAGGGAAATCTGCATCCAGTAGATAGAGCCATCCCCTGGGGATGTGCCAACGAGGTCACCTGTTAAGTAACTAACAGATACCACCTACCGGGAACAACCATATTTTAAGAACAAGTATCTGTAGAAATTCTTTATTATAGTGTATTGATAGTCCAATGATTTTCTCAGAATTGTTGATTCTGCCCAAAGTACAGGCAGTAGCTTTTGCACTAAATAAAGTTTTATTTGATTTCAGACAGATCAGGAAGTTGTTGTTTTAAAATATTTGAATATACATATTTTCGTTTTCTTCTCTTCCTTCGTTTACAATCAGTTCTATGGTATTATCCTTGAAAAGTTTTTAGAACCTTGAATCACTAGTACCAAAATTAGAGTTGTGTTAAGTAATTTTTATAGCTCCCTTTCCCTTCCTTCTTCAATAGCTGTTCTTTTCCCTCGAGCCTACCCAAATTATCCAGCAATCAACCCAGCCAGCCCCACGTCGGCAGTCTGGTGCTCGGAGACCATGAGCCAGAACAGTTCCTGGATCTCCACTATTCTAAGCCAGCGATTTTCAACCTTTTTCATCTCGTGGCACACGTAAATTCATTACTAAAATTCTGTAGCACATAAAAAGACATTTTTTGGCCGATCTGACAAAAAATAGGTACAATTTTGATTCATTCACACTGGATGGCTGTCATTGTGTTGGCTGGTGCCATTTTTTAATTTGACAGTCTGGAAAAGCGGTCAGTGCCCCAACGAAATAGTCAGGTATTGCCTGTTTTAAAAATTCTTGCAGCCCACCAGGTGAGAATCGCCCTTCTAAGCAGCTGGTAAGAGAGAAAGCGGCTATCATGTTCTCCTCTGTGGCTCAAGCACCCAGACGATACTGGACTATTGTCGCAACCCCCAGAAACTTTGTTCTTTGAGGGGTCACAGTGCAGAAGGGACTGAGGAGGGAAGCAAGTTGACTTAGTTCCTCATCAAAGTCCTCTCGCTACAGTATGCAGCTCATTTACTGGGGGTAGGCTGGCGATACAATGGATTTGTTGTTCTCATCTGTTCCTGGACAGCCTCTAAATGTGACCAGCCACATCATCAAACAGACTTTCCAAACACACGTGCACGTTTACTCAGATGGCACATCTCAGGACTCTTTCATTCTTTCTTTTGCCAGTCTGTGTCACGGAGCCCAACATGGATGTTCCCGTTCAGGGAGAGAACCGAAGGAGCTTGAGCAACTGTTTGGGAATGCCGGAGGAGGCTGTAAAATCAATCTGCTAATCTGGGATGAATAAGAAAGTCTGCTCTGGGCAGCTAATAAAAATAGTCCTAAGTTAAGATATCAATTCTTTCTCAAGGTTCCTGCCAACAATTCCTGCAAGTTCACAGTGTCTTCTTTCTTAGTCAATTTATTCCCAAGAGACTATGATCAGGAATATTTATAAGGACATAAGAAAATTACAGCTGCTTTAAAAATTTCTTAACTCCTTGGCAAGTCGTAATTGCATGGTTCCCTAGTTCCTCTCTCCTGAGACTCCTTTCCCTGCCTGTGCGGATAGACCAGGAGGCTGAAGGAAGACACGATGTGCTCTCCTCTTCGGCTGGCCCTCGCCTAGGATCACCCGTATCTACTTCCCTCCCAAAGCCGCCACATCTGCCTGAGCAGTAGGAAAGCTCCCTACTACGCTCTTCAGTGAGATCAAAGAAAAATAATTTTGATACATAATAGCTCTTGAGAGGCAGCCTTCCTCTAGAATTCATTGTAACCGACACATGGTAACCAATGACCCTGGCTCCTGAGGAAATGCGCCTTAGTTGGAAGAAGACTATTTTGAAGGACAACAAAGAAGAAAACGGGAGACACCGTACGTCGGAGCAGGCTACCCTGGCCGGGCGTGTGGGCCTCAGCCCAGTGCCCAACCGCGAGGCTGCCGCTCCCATTCCGGGGTGTGTGTTCAGGAGGGACACCCACAACCGGCACGGTTTGTATTCACAGCCAGTGGCCCTCCTCTGGGGTGTCCTCTGATGTGCGCGCGGTGGATGGTCCCATGCTCCCCAATGATGAAAGGAGCACCGCCTTTCGAGGAGGCATCAGTGCAAGTCACCCGTTTCCCCCTCCACCCCCGCAGGCCTCTGGGCCACGGACGGGCTGGCGCGGCGGGGCACTCACGCAGACATTCGCTGGCGCTCTCGGCGGTCGCCCTCCTCCACGGCCGGTCGTTGAAGAAAGGAAGACACTTCTCACAGTCTGCTCCAAAAGTATTATGTTTGCAACTACACACCAGCTTGTCACGCTCATTCTTCACACACTCGCTTGCATGTCCGTTACACTTACACCTGGGGAGAGAGGGGACACTCAGAAAACAGGAAGCGGCTCCAGTGTCACTGAAACGGACGCAGAAGACGGACGGACACAGGGAACGAGGAACAGCCCCCGAATGTGCTTAAGCTTACCACTGGAAACTGAGCAACCGAGCCAGATTAAGGGAGGGCTGTTTGAGTTTCAGGTATGAGGAAACAATTAAACAGGAAAAAAAAAAAGGTATCTTTATTTAACAGGGGATGGGGCATTAACCAGACGTGAGAAGAAAGTCCCCAACAACATCTGAGGACATGTGTAGCATCACGTCCCAAAGTCATGTGTGTGTGCCAAGAGGCAGCCGAGTGTGCTGGTTAAGAAGAGCATGGAGCCCTGGCCGGTTTGGCTCAGCGGTTAGAGCGTCGGCCTGCAGTCCAGAGAGACCCGGGTTCGGTTCCTGCTAAGGGCGCGTACCTCGGTTGCAGTTTGTCCCCGGCCCTGGTTGGTCGTGCAGGTGGCAGCCATTCGATGTGTCCCTTTCACGTCCATGTTTCTCTCTCTCTCTCTGTTCCTCTCTCTCCCTCCCACTCTACCTGAACAAAAAATGGAAAAATGTCCTCAGGTGAGGAAAAAAGAAAAAAAGAAGAGCATGGCTTTGGAAGCCAGGCAGCCTGGGTTTGGAGACCCGCCCTGTAACTTACATGCAAAATAGGGGTTATGATGATGTCTATTTCATAGGGTTACTGGGAGGATCAAGAAGTTGCTTTATTCATGTGCCTAGGATTGTGTGAGCACATACGTCAATAATTATGTCAGCAATTATTTATCTGCCATGATGATATTAAAGTTATTCTGATCTGAAGGCAGCAAGAGACATTAGATACCTCACCACCAGATGGATCTGGTAGCCTGGTATCCCACAGGTTGTTTGGGGTAAGAATCCTTGAAGGATCCCTTGGAGGCAGGTAAAACCATAAACTAAGAACTCATGGAAATTCCCACAAATACTAGCGTGCGTTCTGGTGTGCTGACATTTCCCTCGGTGCTTCCATGAAGACTACAAACAGTTCCAGAGCTTCAACTACCACTTAAAAGGACACCCAAACACTTCTGAAACATCTACAGCATAATCAGGATGAGTCACAAATTTACATCTCCAGCTCTCATGTTTCTCCCAAACTCCTTGACTGATGCACAAATTTAGATGTCCTCCAGGACCTACAACTTTACATGTCTACAACCAAACTCATCATCTCCCCAAATTAGCTCATCTTTATTTACTTTGTTAATGGTGCCACCTGTCTCCTCATCACGAAACCTTACAATCATCCCTGACTACCTCCTGATAATTCTTCCTTCACAATAAAATGCCTCTACATGTTCCTTTCCATTCTCTTGTCACCACCCTAACGTCAGGTGTGCGTCACCTATCACCTAGCTCACACAGCATCAAAAGAAGAATAGAAATTCTCTCGAGCATACTCTACTCATACGTATAAGCCCACAGCTAATCTTCCTAAGCCACTGTTTTGATATCATAGCCCTACTGCAAAAAAACTACATGGCTACTCACTGGCGACAGTTTCCATCAACTTTCTCTGAGCATCAATCCACACCAGGGACACTGCACACAATGATGATGTTTCTGCTCTTGAGACCTCACAGGTTAATACAGGGGATGTAGGTCCAAGATCCTTTCCTGCCGTGTAACATCTTGAGCTACCAATCTCTCTCTCTTGTTTACAACTCTACAAATTCATATGAGATGTTCCTTCAGTTAAGTAGGTTCATACTCTCCCAACTCCAGACTTTTGTTCACGCATGCCCACCCTCTGCACTCAACCCCATTCATCCAGCTTAGCCCCCTTCTGCTCCTCCAGCCTCGCTGACGCTTCTGCAGCATTCTCTGGCATGTGGCTTTTTTTTTAAAGCTAAAACATGGGACTATACTAGTATTTAATGTCTCAGAGTCATACGTCGCCTGCCTCATTCATCTGCAGGATCCTAGAAGGTCCACCTCTCCTCAGTGGGTGCATGGCAGTCTACACTTCCTCAGTAGCTTCGCAGAGCCTATTACAGAGCTTTGCACTTCAATCCTCAATAAGGATTCACCAAGTGTGTGGATTTGACAAGGTTTTAGAAAACCTAATTACTTTGTTTCCATGATAATGAGGTCTAACAATGTTTTTAATATAGTTGTAAACAGTTGCTACATTTACTTTTAAACCAAAGCTGGAATCTCTTTCAAAGTTTTGTGGGTTTTTTTTAAAGCAGATTTTATTTTACTTTTTATTGATTATTTAGAGAGAGGACAGGAGAGAGAAAGAAACATCGATGTGAGAGAGAAACATTGACTGGCTGCCTCCTCCGAGTCCCCCCCTGGGGATTGAGCCCACAACCCGGGCATGTGCCCTGACCAGGCATCAAATCGGGACCTCTTAGTCCATCGGATGATGCTCAATCCACCGAGCCACCCAGCTGGGCCCTTTCAAAGTTTTAATAGTTTACTTACCTACCACCTACAGCAAAATCAGAGATTGCGTAATAATAGGACTTGAGGACTTTGGGGTCATTAAACACCTCGTCTCCAAAGGTGTTCAGGCGATTGAGGGTCACTCTGATGTCCGTGGCTGTCACCCACTCCTGTGAGAAAACAAAACCAGGATTAGGTAATGGGAAGACAAGAGACAGAAATGGGATAAAATGTTCTAGATAGTGGATGTACCATTTAACTTATGTTCTCTTCTAGCATTAAATCTATAATAGTCAATGGTTCTTTTCATTTCTTGATATTTTCCCCTTTCTTGACTCTTTCTTTCTTTGATCTAAGTTGTTATTTTACCACTCAGACTCCCCCAAAGCAGGAATAATACTAGTTTCTTCAGAGGCTACTGAGAGGCTTAAATGAGATATACTTCTAAATGCCCAACATACATTAGGTACTCAAGACACATGTCCCTTCTCTTCACCCTGTATCCGCACCCCAAATCCAGCCAGATCCGAGCACAGAGCTCGTGTGACACCACACTTTACAGGACATGCTGGTCACTGTCTCCTCCTGCCCACTTGGTACCAGCTATCTCTCCCTCCACAGCCCACCCGTGACAACAGATCTGGGGAAGACATCCAAGTACAAGCAATAAATCACTACACTGCCCTCAGCCGACCAGAGTCCGTCTTCGTCTTGGCTCTCCCCACAATTCCCCCTTGTCAGGGCTTCCCAGGCCACTCTTTATAAAATTGCTACCACCCTCCCATCCCCCTACTTACCTTCCCTATTTTACTTATTTATTTTCCTTTACACTTTTTTTAAAATTTCATTTTTCATTTACAGTTTATATTCAACACTATTTTGTATGAGTTTCAGGTGTACAGCATAGTGGTTAGATAATCACATACTTTACAAAGTGTTCCCCTGGCTATTTCCAGTACTCACCCTGCACAGTTATTACAATATTATTGCCTATGTTCCCTCTGCTGTACTTTACATCCCCGAGACTGTCTTGTAACTACCAATTTGTACTTCTCAATCCCCTCACCTTTCCCCCCAGTCTCCAAGCCTGCTATTTATACTGCCTGTTTCTGCCACCTGTCACCGCCAGACTGTAAGCCCCACACCGGCAGGGGCTTTTGTTTTGTCCGCTGCAGTTCCTCTAGCACAGTAGGTGCTCCCATAACATGTGCTGAGCCAACGAGCAAATGTGAAGAAACCACAACTGACCCACTGGGCAGGTGTACCACAGGGCCGGTGAAGAATGAAGGTTGTAAGTTTCCCCTAGGTTTCATGAAATCGAAGCCCTCGTATAAATGTCCTTTCATTGAGCTGATGTTAGTCAGTGTGTACATCTGTGGTAGGCTGTTATAATAACAATGCCAATGAATCATGACCACGAGTGTCACACCCTGTGGAACCCCTTTCCACATGGATGCTGGGCTTGGGAGTGTGATTTTCTGGAGCTGTGGGGACATTGGCAAATGTGACCTGAGCGGAGGCCTGATAAGCACCTGTGCACCGGGACTTGCCCTCTTGGGAGAATGCCACCATCACGTGAGGTAAGACCACAGGGGAGAGAAACCCAGCTCCCAGCTCCCCAGCCAGTGAGCGAGCCCAGGACAACACAGAATCAATGAGGAATGATAAACCATGTTTGTCTAGAACCATTACGTTTGGAGTGGTGTATTCCATATAACCACCTAAAGGCACCATCTCCACTCCAAGTCCTCTCCTGGGCTGCAGCTCAGAACCTCCGACAGACGCAAGGAGCGTGTGCAGGGCTGTGGGGTCTGTGCTTTCCAAAGGCTCCGCACGAGACTGAGAGGCACACCCCTGACGGAGAGCCACTGCTAAACCATGCCAAACACCTGGCAGATGCACACGGAGAGCTCAGAGAACGCTCTCTCCACAAAGCCTCCGGTCCAATCAGAAAGGAGAAGATATGATGATTTCATTGCACCCAAACTTGGAACTCCAATAACAACTCCCCCTCATGGCCACAATGTCAGGAATCTTTTGTCGTCTGTAATGTAAATAGCTAAGCCCGTGTCTGTGTTTAATGCTTATCAGATCTTCTACAGCCTTTCCCTTTATCACAGCTCTCCTGAATAAAAAGCTTTTCTCAAGGGCTGAATCTAAGCCTCCCCCTTTCCTGCTCCCCCCATAGTGTGAACCTTCAAAAGAGCAGACCCTAAAACAAGACATTTTGGGTTTCGAATCCCATTTCAGCCACTTAAAACTGTTTGATTTTTGGTAAGTTAATTTATCCTTTCTGGGCCACTGATTCCTCGTTTGTAAAATGGAGATAATAAAAACATCTACCTTACAGAATTATTGGGAGGGTTAATATATCTAATATACCTAAAGACCTTAGAGCATTGCTTGTCACATTGTGGCGCATCACAGGAAGTGCTGTAATAAATGCTGATTATTATTCTGAATCAGTGCACACTCGGTAATATTCAGATACAACGAAACCAGGAAGGGTCTCCTGTCCGTGTCGGAGACCACAGCTCATGAAGCGTGGGGGGGAGGGGGGTGATGAGGAAAGGGTGCTTGGCTTCTCCCCTCATGGCCAGATCAGCTGAAACAGTTAAACCCCTTTGGCAACTGTATCTCACAGCAGAGCTCTTACATCCAGAGACACATAATTAACGTCTCTGCATGACGATACCAACTGACCAAACCTACCGCAGACGCCTACAGCATTTTCACCACATGAAGTCTTGTGCGCTCCTGCGGAATAAGAGTAGCAAACCTCAGAATTCCTATAGCTGGGGATATGGCTTCAAGACAGGCTGACAAGGCATATAATTAGCAAAGGTGCCAGAAAACCAGCCACACTGTCATCTCGGGGCTTTTTCCTACAGGCTACACTGTTGCCTCTCCAGGACCAGGAAACACAGTAGTTTGGGTGGAAGAATCAAAGCTAACAGATGTTTGCTGGGTCAACCTGGCGAGTCTTTGGAGATCACTTCCCTCCGGGCCATGCAGTCTTCTGCTTTTTCATCTATTAAAGCCTGCTGTGCTCCCTGCCATGTGCTTTGAACACCTCTCATTGCCAATGCAGGAGCACTTTTCTGAAAGACCACTGCAAATGCATCTACTGCTCACTACAATCTCAGAGCTGATCAAAATCAAGATTTATCATCTCCCAGCCAGCAGCATACAGAAATACAATGTGCATACAATCTATTCACAGAGAAATATATTCTCATCTTTTGCCACTGTCCAAGACCATACAACCAAATGAGAAAAAGAGTCCTGAACATCATAAATTCCCCAGAGAAAGAATGAGAAGACACAAAAGCATAGAGCCCCCGCAATGGGAGGTTCCCTCCTGAGAAATCACAATAGCTTTTCATAAAACGTACAGAGCATTTGCACACCCACATCCCAGTATTTATCATGTCAGTCAATTCATACAGGCTGCCCAGGTCAGATGTTAGCTGCAGCCACAAACAGAAGTGTCTGCAACTCTGGGTTCACGTGCTGAGAATGGCCTGAGCTCGCCAGTCTCTCCACAATTCAACAGCCAGGGCATGAGAAAAATCCACAGAAATCTAAGCAGAGAGAAAGATTCCATGTTATGACATATAAGGAATATGTACCCAGAATCCATGAGAAAAAAAATATTTAATTCTTTCTACTGCACAGTAGGGAAGAGTCTATGACAATGCTTGAGCACAATACCAGGGGTCCCTAAACGTATACTGTCACAAACACCAGTGCTGTGGGCGACGAGTTTTCATGACTGGCAACGGTGCCAGGCAAACCCACACTGAATTCCCTGGCACAGAAATGAAAGAAGGTGGCATTCTTTTTTTTAACCCTCATCTGACGACATTTTTGCATTTATCTTCAGGTAGAGCGGGAGGGAGAGACGGAGGAAGAGAGAGAGAGAAACATCGATGTGTGAGATACACAGACTGGTTGCCACCCACACAACCCCAACCAGGTCAGGGACAAACTGCAACCGAAGTATGTGCCCTTGGCAGGAACCAAACCTGGGACTCTCTGGTCCGCAGGCCAATGCTCTAACCACTGAGCAACACCGGCCAGGACAGAAGGTGGCATTCTTAACTATCCTGCTTCAATTGTTTCCTCTTATTAATAAAATATGTTCTGTTTTGTCCAATCCAAGAAGAGGTATGACAGGAAGCAAGAAAACTGGGCAGATGAGTTCAAATACCCTCTCCAAAAGGTCAGGAGCAAAATGTTTCCACTTTAAGTACACATGCTAAAGTTAGAGCGGTCCAACTTTTTAAAAAAGCTGTAAAGTTTATATATCCCAGGATACATTCGCGAGTACATGGGAACGTAAGAACAAACACCAAGCGGGGAGCGGGAGCAAGCTGCTTCCCTCGCTTATCCAGTCCAGCTGTCTGCAGCGTCGGAGGCCTCCACACCCCATCACCACCATCTCCCTGCGTCCCGTGCGGGGAAGAACCAGGGGCTCTGGGCCCCACACCCCATCACTACCATCTCCCTGCGTCCCGTGCGGGGAAGAACCAGGGGCTCCGGTCCCCACACCCCATCACCACCATCTCCCTGCATCCCGTGCGGGGAAGAACCAGGGGCTCCGGTCCCCACACCCCATCACCACCATCTCCCTGCGTCCCGTGCGGGGAAGAACCAGGGGCTCCGGTCCCCACACCCCATCACCACCATCTCCCTCCGTCCCGTGCGGGGAAGAACCAGGGGCTCCGGGCCCCACACCCCATCACCACCATCTCCCTGCGTCCCGTGCGGGGAAGAACCAGGGGCTCCCGGCCCCACACCCCATCACCACCATCTCCCTGCGTCCCGTGCGGGGAAGAACCAGGGGCTCCCGGCCCCACACCCCATCACCACCATCTCCCTCCGTCCCGTGCGGGGAAGAACCAGGGGCTCCCGGCCCCACACCCCATCACCACCATCTCCCTGCGTCCCGTGCGGGGAAGAACCAGGGGCTCCGGTCCCCACACCCCATCACCACCATCTCCCCGTGTCCCGTGCGGGGAAGAACCAGGGGCTCCGGTCCCCACACCCCATCACCACCATCTCCCTGCGTCCCGTGCGGGGAAGAACCAGGGGCTCCGGTCCCCACACCCCATCACCACCATCTCCCTGCGTCCCGTGCGGGGAAGAACCAGGGGCTCCGGGCCCACACCCCTTCACCACCATCTCCCTCCGTCCCGTGCGGGGAAGAACCAGGGGCTCCGGGCCCACACCCCTTCACCACCATCTCCCTCCGTCCCGTGCGGGGAAGAACCAGGGGCTCCGGGCCCACACCCCTTCACCACCATCTCCCTGCGTCCCGTGCGGGGAAGAACCAGGGGCTCCGGGCCCACACCCCTTCACCACCATCTCCCTCCGTCCCGTGCGGGGAAGAACCAGGGGCTCCGGGCCCACACCCCTTCACCACCATCTCCCTCCGTCCCGTGCGGGGAAGAACCAGGGGCTCCGGGCCCCACACCCCATCACCACCATCTCCCTGCGTCCCGTGTGGGGAAGAACCAGGGGCTCCGGGCCCCACACCCCATCACCACCATCTCCCTGCGTCCCGTGCGGGGAAGAACCAGGGCTCCCGGCCCCACACCCCTTCACCACCATCTCCCCGTGTCCCGTGCGGGGAAGAATCAGGGGCTCCGAGCCCCACACCCCATCACCACCATCTCCCCGTGTCCCGTGCGGGGAAGAACCAGGGGCTCCGGGCCCCACACCCCATCACCACCATCTCCCTCCGTCCCGTGCGGGTAAGAACCAGGGGCTCCGGGCCCCACACCCCATCACCACCATCTCCCTGCATCCCGTGCGGGGAAGAACCAGGGGCTCCGGGCCCCACACCCCATCACCACCATCTCCCTGCGTCCCGTGCGGGGAAGAATCAGGGGCTCCGGGCCCCACACCCCATCACCACCACCTCCCCGTGTCCCGTGTGGGGAAGAACCAGGGGCTCCCGGCCCCACACCCCATCACCACCATCTCCCTGCATCCCGTGCGGGGAAGAACCAGGGGCTCCGGGCCCCACACCCCATCACCACCATCTCCCTGCGTCCCGTGCGGGGAAGAACCAGGGGCTCCGGGCCCCACACCCCATCACCACCATCTCCCTGCATCCCGTGCGGGGAAGAACCAGGGGCTCCGGGCCCCACACCCCATCACCACCATCTCCCTGCGTCCCGTGCGGGGAAGAATCAGGGGCTCCGGGCCCCACACCCCATCACCACCATCTCCCTCCGTCCCGTGCGGGGAAGAACCAGGGGCTCCCGGCCCCACACCCCATCACCACCATCTCCCTGCGTCCCGTGCGGGGAAGAACCAGGGGCTCCGGTCCCCACACCCCATCACCACCATCTCCCCGTGTCCCGTGCGGGGAAGAACCAGGGGCTCCGGTCCCCACACCCCATCACCACCATCTCCCTCCGTCCCGTGCGGGGAAGAACCAGGGGCTCCGGGCCCCACACCCCATCACCACCATCTCCCTGCGTCCCGTGCGGGGAAGAACCAGGGGCTCCCGGCCCCACACCCCATCACCACCATCTCCCTGCGTCCCGTGCGGGGAAGAACCAGGGGCTCCCGGCCCCACACCCCATCACCACCATCTCCCTCCGTCCCGTGCGGGGAAGAACCAGGGCTCCCGGCCCCACACCCCATCACCACCATCTCCCTGCATCCCGTGCGGGGAAGAACCAGGGGCTCCGGTCCCCACACCCCATCACCACCATCTCCCCGTGTCCCGTGCGGGGAAGAACCAGGGGCTCCGGTCCCCACACCCCATCACCACCATCTCCCTGCGTCCCGTGCGGGGAAGAACCAGGGGCTCCGGTCCCCACACCCCATCACCACCATCTCCCTGCGTCCCGTGCGGGGAAGAACCAGGGGCTCCGGGCCCACACCCCTTCACCACCATCTCCCTCCGTCCCGTGCGGGGAAGAACCATGGGCTCCGGGCCCACACCCCTTCACCACCATCTCCCTCCGTCCCGTGCGGGGAAGAACCAGGGGCTCCGGGCCCACACCCCTTCACCACCATCTCCCTGCGTCCCGTGCGGGGAAGAACCAGGGGCTCCGGGCCCACACCCCTTCACCACCATCTCCCTCCGTCCCGTGCGGGGAAGAACCAGGGGCTCCGGGCCCACACCCCTTCACCACCATCTCCCTCCGTCCCGTGCGGGGAAGAACCAGGGGCTCCGGGCCCCACACCCCATCACCACCATCTCCCTGCGTCCCGTGTGGGGAAGAACCAGGGGCTCCGGGCCCCACACCCCATCACCACCATCTCCCTGCGTCCCGTGCGGGGAAGAACCAGGGCTCCCGGCCCCACACCCCTTCACCACCATCTCCCCGTGTCCCGTGCGGGGAAGAATCAGGGGCTCCGGGCCCCACACCCCATCACCACCATCTCCCCGTGTCCCGTGCGGGGAAGAACCAGGGGCTCCGGGCCCCACACCCCATCACCACCATCTCCCTCCGTCCCGTGCGGGGAAGAACCAGGGGCTCCGGGCCCCACACCCCATCACCACCATCTCCCTGCGTCCCGTGCGGGGAAGAACCAGGGGCTCCGGGCCCCACACCCCATCACCACCATCTCCCTGCATCCCGTGCGGGGAAGAACCAGGGGCTCCGGGCCCCACACCCCATCACCACCATCTCCCTGCGTCCCGTGCGGGGAAGAATCAGGGGCTCCGGGCCCCACACCCCATCACCACCACCTCCCCGTGTCCCGTGTGGGGAAGAACCAGGGGCTCCGGGCCAGCCTCGGGACACCTACCTGCAGCACCGGGCTATTGTCAAAGTTGTAGGCGCTGGGCCTTCCCTCCAGGGTGGAGAAGGCCACGTTGCCGCCGGTGAGAGGGGAGATGTCGCTGAACTCGTCCGTGCACAAGGCCTGCTGCTCGTCCTCGCCGGTCCTGATGAAGCCCCGGGTGGCCTTGAAGTAGGTGTTCTCGCAGGAGCCGCTGTAGTACTGGTAGGGCGTCCAGGGCCCGTCCTCCCGCGTGCGCTTGTAAATGGCGAAGCTCTCGGGCCGGCTGGTGTGGAACTTGAGGCGTACGTAGGTGATGTCAAAAGACTTTCCTGTGGGACAAACACACCAAAGTTCCTATGTCATGTGCGGAGCCAAGAAATTCCCTCTATTCCCAGTTTGCTTTGGAACTTGACAGAGAAAGTACACCCTGTGCACACCAGACTAAGAAGGTTCCGGAACACACAGCACACCGGCTGTGTCTGACAGGCTGGTCTGAGCCTGCAGCAGAGCACGTGTTCCCACAGAAGTGACAACTTATTACCGGGGTCCTGAGTCAGCTCGTAAAAGCCTACTTATGATGTAGGTGGTTGGAATGTTGTTTGCCGTGACCACTGTAGCATATACTGGTATTGTCCCTACACTATCAAAAATAAAATAGAATGAAAAAGTACATTTATTCTTAACGCTGGGTCTTCAGCAAAAGCTTAATGATAGAAAAGAAAATGTGTTTTGAAAATGTGTATTCGGGGCACTTTCAACATTTGGAAAAACTCATTCCTGACCAACTGTAATATTACTTCCTGATACAGAAGAATATCACGAGCACCACGATATGACTTGTCTACCAGGTTAATAAAGAAATCTGAGATGGGGAGAAAATCAGTGATCGAGATAAGGGGCAGGGGGTAGAGTAAGTAAGAAGAACAGAGACAGGGAAAAGGAAGAGGAAAGGAGAAAGGTGGTTTAAAGAAGTTGGGTTTGAACACATTCAAAGCGAACAGATGAGAAGTGAGCTCTGGTCCGGGAAGGGCAGCGAAGGGGAGGAGTCAGTGGACTGTCGTCCCTGCAGCGGCCAGAGTGTGCCTTCGGGTGGGCACGAGAAGCCGTGTGCACCCCCGGTCCATCACCACTCATTCAGAGACTGGGTCTTTCCACCTCTGAAACTACCTTTTCTTTGCTGCTTCTATGTGAGAGTGAAGATCACAGTTTGGTCACTAAGTATTTGCTGGGCACAAGCAGCTCAGTCCTCTGTATACACTTTGGGGGACAGGATGTGTTGGACATCGGGGTCCTTGCACTCAAGGAGCTCACTGTCTTTCTCCCCAGGTGAATGAACCTTACAAGAAGAACCACCCTAACCCTCCCCTACGCAGCCCACCGAGGAGGCCCTCCTGCACTCCCCAAGTGCCAAGGACAGACTGCTGCCATCCTCTCCTCCTCGTACCCCCTCATCCCCCGGCAGCGATGCTCAGGCACGGCCTGGAATCCCCTCAGCTCTCTCTCTGGCTGCCTGTCCAAGTCCGTCCCCTCTCCTGCACTCCTTGGTATAAGACAGCACCTCCGTCTCCCTGCAGGGAGGCCTGCTGCCATCTGGGTCCGGATCTGGGATTTGGTGGTGAGTTCAACTGGGGCAAGAAGGTGGCCCGGGGAGAAAGGCAAGGAGCAAGAGCAGAAAGTCCGTGTGAGCTGTGTCCAGGCTGTTTTCACTCCAGTCTACCTAGAAAACTGCTGTGATGAGCCCTATCTGACTCTGTCTCAACTGGTCCAGATCTTACAAGGGAGGTTTCATTAACTGTCCGCCATGCGCATGAAACACACACACGTATGACTTCGAACACAAAGGCATGTGGCATGATGGCGACAACACGGGGAGCTGAGAGACCTGACTTCAGGTCCTGACTCCTTCAGAGATGAGCTGTGATTTCTGCTCCGCCCTGCCCCTGCTGGAAGTGTGAGGATGATCATCCCCGAGCCACCTACAGCTGTGGCAAGGTCATACTAAGATCTTGTATATACCTGATTCATTGTAAAACTCTACACAAATATAAGGTAACAGGGTTTAGAAGAAAACTCCCGAACAAGGATCCTGGATGCGAGCACACACAGGGCCTGACTGTTCCAGGGACTACCTGGGACAGTGCCAAAGGGTGTTACACCAGCCTGGACCTGCTACCTACGATGCAGCACATTTTGCCTGGACATGGGTCACAGAAATGTAGTTAACAACCCTCCTGTTGAAAGAATGCAAATTTAACCTGTCTCTTGACTATATAAAAACTGTCAGGACATCACCTTTGAATGAGGGAGGGTGAGGTTACAATCCAGTATCTAGGACATTCCTGCGACTATCTGGGGCATTCCAGGACTGCAAATCCCCTGAGTTTGACTCGGGTGGGTGGCTTGGGATGTTCCAAGGCTGACTCGCTATCTCTAGATTACAGATCTCCCTTCCCTTTCTACCCTCTCTGTCTACATGTACGATATCGCAATCTCATTTTTCTTTAGCAACCCAACCTACAGGAGTCTGGATCAAAGGGGAGAAGGCAAAATGGATCAGGGTGTCGCGTGCTCCAGACCAACGTCTGAAGCAGAAAGCCGCACCCCGAAAGCGACGGGCCGAGGTGCACACTCCCACAGCCGATGCACCCAGAAAGCAGCTTTGCCGGCGCCGACCTTGCTGGGGCTGCCTCCCCTCACCACGCCTCCTTCTCAGAGCTGCCCTCTCACCCCAGCCTGCGGCCACAGCCGGAGGAAAAGCCGCTGTGGCGATCGAGGGCGGCGCCCACGGTCCACACCACACGTGCACGGCCCTCAGAGTCACAGTGCGCTTGGCAGTGGCCACGGACCCCTGCAGTTCCGTGGGACGGGGGCTGTGACAGGGGAAGGGCACAGTGTTTTGGGAGCATGGAGGACTGTCACCTAATCTAGATTTGCCAGGTCAGTTTTCTAGATAAGATGGCATCTAAATCCAAGAGCTGAGGAATGCAGAGGAACTAGCTAAGCAGACAGGGATCGGTTGTCCAGGCGGAGAAAGAGCAGGTGGGAACGCCCAGAGGCTCAGAAGTAATCAGTGGAGGTATCAGAGCTGAGCAGTATGGCTGGACCGGGAGAGGAGCTGGGGATGATCTAGCTAGGAGGTAGAACACGCCAGGCTGGAAGCCATGCTGAAGAGTAACTTCAATCTAAGGACAATGGCAAGCCGTGGATGGATCATGTCAGGAAATGCTTGATCTGATTTGATTTTCAGAACGGCCGCTGTGTGGAGCCTAGGTGGGAAGGGGCAGGACTGGAGGTGAGGAGAATCGTTAAGAAGATGGGGCAGTGATCCTGGAGGGGTGACAGTGGCTGACCTCAGAGCAGGGACAGCCGGAATGGAGAGAAATGAATGGATCTGGGTGAGACGTAAGCAGCAGACGTCAGCGGTAACCTGGTCACTGAGGGGGGTGACGGGGAACAGGACCCACCTTTGAAAGCCTCCTCTACCTTTACCTGGTTCACACTGTTTACTGTCAAATCTTCTACTCATTCCGAAAGGCGGGAGGATTAAAAACTATGCTTAGTTTTCTAGTCTAAAAACAACTAAGCGGAGAGGAGTACCATCCACTGAAACAGAACTGAAGGCGGTCAAGCAGGACGGGAGCCGGGGCAGCGGGGAGGACAGGGAGAGTACCTCAATTTTGGATACACTAACTTTGGGGTGTCTGCGGGTCATCTAGACAAGATGAAACATCTTGTAGGGAGCTGGATGTCAGCGCACTGAAGGTTCAAGAGAGATGTCTGAGCTAGATGGATACATCTGGGATTCATTAGTACCTAGACAGACAATGAGGATCTGGGCTAGTCGAGACCACCAAAGAAAGTACATTAAGTGAGAAGACAAATGACTTTTGAGATCAAGCTGAGGAGCATCAACATCTGAAGCACAGAAAGGAGAGGAGACAGAGAAGAGACCGTGAACACCAGAGGGAGAAGAAGAAGTCAAACGGTATCAGTATCACAGAAGCCAAGAGGGTTTTCAGCAGGAAATAATGGTGCTACTGTCTTCCAAGAGAGTAAGATAATGACTAAGAAGCATCTGTTGACTTCAGGCCACCAAGGTCATTGGCAGGGATCGTGATGGGCTGAAATAACCAATGGCAGGTAACAGGTGGGAATGTAGACACCATGGTTGGAATCCAGCTGTGAGGGCATCTGGCTAAAGGGAAGAAGAAAGAGGAGAAGAAGACAGTTGAAGGGAATACAGGCTCTAGGCAAGGATTTTCTCTTTGCCCTGGGCTTTTAGATGGGAGATAAAAGATGCATTACCTGCTGCTGTGCCCAACCAGCACAGGGAAAGACCACACTGGGACTGAGCGCTGGTAAAGGGTCACCTCAGCAGGAGGAGACCTGCACCCGCTTCCTGTCTGGGTGCAACCACAAGTGACCTTGCAAGTTGTAACAGATGGAAGTTGAAAGAATTCTAACTGATGACTTTTTATTTCAGTGAAAATCAAGGGTGTCTGCTAAGGGGCTGGGGAGAGAGCCAGTGAGAGTGTTGGGTGGAGACTATCTGAAGAGAGTGCAGAAACTCCCTAAGAGCCTCTGTAGAGACGAGCAAAGAGCTGATGAGAGAAAAAGGCGGCTTCTTGGGCAGAGATGGACTACGGAAAAGTCTAGGAGGTCATGACTTTGTTTTATTTATTTTTTCAATCCTCACCTGAGGACATTTTTCCATTTCTCTTCAGCTAGAGTGGGAGGGGAAGGAGGGACAGAGAGAAACATCGATGAGAGAAGGACATATCGACTGGCTGCCTCCCGCACGACCCTGACCAGGGACAGGGATGAACCGCAACCAAGGTAGGTGCCCTTGACCGGAATTAAACCCGCGACTCATTGGTCCAAGGGCTGATGCTCTAACCACTAAGCCAAACTGGCCAGGGCGGAGGTCATGACTTTGGATGGACATCTTTATGCTGGTGCGATTTTCTGCACAGGTACAACAGAAGGATAGTAAGATAAGGACACTAAAGTTACTTCAAAAAATCTGGGATCTGTTCTGAATAAATATGGAAGCAAATAAAGAAAATAGAGTGGAAGAGTCCAAGCTTAGGGGTCTGTGCCATCGGGAATTACCTGCAACAATGGATAAGGAAGAGCTGGAGAAGTGAGGAGCTACATTTTATTCCATCAAACAGCTACAACTGAGACCTATCGTGTGCTCTCTTTCTCACCGTACTTCCGACTCTTCATCTGTCCATCCTGCTCATTTCACAGGGGACGCAGTACAAAGACCTAGGTAAATGGCAGATGAGTAGAAAACAGCAACAATCTCCTGATTTCCAGTCCGGTG